TTATGCAGAACGGTTGTCCTAGGCCCAGAGAAGCAGCCGGGGCAGCACTGAGCCCAGGAGGCCCTGGAGGGCCGGGTCTGTCTGGAAACTGGGGTCTCCATCCTCACAGCGGGGCAGAGGGCCATACACCCAAGAGCTCTACTTGACTCCGGGAGGCCCTGAGCCTCAGAGGCTGCCTTGCGAGGTGGGCGGGCCAGGGATGCTCTGTCTGGGGCCATGGGCCAGCGCTCAGGACGTCCCCAGTCTGTGGAACTCCTTTGCAGGTGGCCAGGAGGTTTTGTGGCTCCTACCTTGTTTCTTTCCAGGGATGATCCCGGGGGTCCCTGGGGTAGGTGGTCAGGATTGGAGAGGAGCCTGGGGCTTGGCCTTCCACCCTGGCCACCCCATGTGTGTGGGACACCCCTTCCCAAAGTGTCTGTGGCTTCCTTGGGGGTCACTCCCCACAGTGTGTGTTGGGGGATGGGGGTAAGCACGTGTCATGGGGCACCAACGCTGGTCCCCTCAAGCCGAGACTCCCTGGTGTGGACTCAGCTCCAGCCAGAGGACAGTTGAGCACTGGGTGGTCCTGAGGCTGTGGGTCTGGGGCTGTGGAGACCTCTTGTGTTTTTCCTGTTTCTCTGCCGGCCTCCTGGGGCCGTGTGCACAGGCACTGGCCACTTAGCTCCCTTGTAGCCTGGGCTGAGGGGAAGGCGCATGTCCTGTGGGGCCCCCTGACTGCTGTTGATGGCACTCCATGATGAGGGCAGCCTGATGGGATGCTGTGCTAGGACCTGGGCAGCAGGACACCAGCAGCCGCTGACAGGGCCTTCTCACTTGTCCTTGTCAGTCTGCTGGGTTTTCTTTTCCTTTTTTTGGAGTTGGTGTCCTGCTGTGTCACCCAAGCTGGAGTACGGTGATGTGATCACCGCTCACTGCAGCCTCGACTTCCCGGACTCCAGTGATCCTCCTGCCTCGGCCTTCCAAAGTGCTGGTATTCAGGCGTTGGCCACTGTGCCTGGCCTGGTTTGATTTTTGATAAAGTCAGGACGTCCTATTTTTCTTTCACTTTCTTCAAGGCGGTTTGGGATTTGGCTCCGCTGGCCGCTATGCTGGTCCATTTACTGGCTGCTGGCTTTCTGCATCCTGCCCTGCCCCTGGCCCACCCAGGTTCCTTTGTGCCCTTGAGCCCCTGCCTTGGGACAGCCATGGCCATGGCCACCTGGACACCCTAGGAGCACCCGCCTGGACTCCCACTGCAGAGTCCTTGCTCAGCCCCATGGCAGAGTGGCTCTCAGCGTGCTCTGGCGTGTACCTGGCCTAGCTCCCTTCTCCCCATCTGCCCACAGATGCTCCATGGCCCCAGCCTCTCCCTTCCTGTCTTGCCCACCCCTCTCCAGGGGCTCAGGTCCCTGTGCACATCCCTCAGATGGGTCTGCTGCCTGTTCAGGGCTGTCATGTCCTTGCCTGGCCGGTGGCTTGGGTCCCTCCCACCCCCAGCAGCTCCACACTCCTGGCACTGGGCCGTGGGACCGAAGCCAGTTTTCTCATCACACGAGTGAGAGGCTGCAGCGGGGAATCGCGCCCCAGGCCGTCTCCTTGTCTGTGCCGACTCTGATCATTCCTGTGCGGAGGCGCGGAGATGGCGGCGCTGAGATGGGCCGGCCGCCCGGGCCAGGGTGTTTGTTTAACTTTCTCTCCTTTTGACAGCGATTCTCTGAGCAGCCTCCTCCGGCTGCTTCCCCTGTAAACTGGCTGCTTTGACTCTCAGCGCCCGCTCCCTGGCGTGGAGCAGCAGCCTGTCGTCCTAGCCTTGGGGAACGTTCGTGTGGCGCACACTCTGGGGGGTGTCCTGAGTGGGGACTGCTGCAGCGCTCCTGTCTCAGCATCACGAAATCCTGGCCTCAGCGCTGGGTCTTCAGTGTGTGGAGATGTTGCATGAAGGAAGGTCCTAGGCTCTCGGCTGGGCTGCAGAGAGGTCCTGGAAGTGGTGCTGCTGGGGAGGGCGTGCCTCTCTCGGGTCTGCTGTGAAATGGCCTGTTTCTATACAGCCAGGTGCTACCCACGTACGACAGCCTGGATGAGCCGTCGGTGAAAACCATGAGCTCCATATTTGCCTCCTCCCTCAATGTGGTCACCACCTTCTACGTCATGGTAAGAGCCTTGCCATGCCCCCTCCACGCCTGTGTCATGCCAGCATGACATGCTGTGGTGCCCCCGGGACTGCCACAGGCACGGCCCTGGCCCTCTGTGCTGCCGGATTCTTCTCTGTGTTCCCATCCCAGTGTCTGGAGGCTGCGCGGGGACCTGGGGCAGCTCCATCAGCTTCCATGATTCTAGGACCAGCCCCGTGAGCGTGGGTCCACCCTGGGCCAGGAAGCTCTCCTGACCTGAGGAGCCGGGCACCAGAGCTGCTCCCAGGGCACTTTATCTGAGCCACTCTTACCGTCTCTGCAAGACCTCTGTTAATTCTCTCTAGAAATGGGCATATTTCGGCCGGGCGCAGTTGCTCACGCCTGTAATCCCAGCACTTTGGGAGGCCAAGGCGGGCGGATCACGAGGTCAGGAGATCAAGACCAGCCTGGCCAACATGGTGAAACCCCGTCTCTACTAAAAATACAAAAATTAGCTGGGCATGGTGGTGCATGTGTGTAAACACGCTCACGGAAGGCTGAGGCAAGAGAATTGCTTGAACCAGGACCTGGGAGGCGGAGGTACACTGAGTCCGAGATTGCACTACTGCACTCCAGCCTGGGCTTCAGAGGGAGACCCCGTCTCAAAAAAAAAAAAAAAAGCCGGGCATGGTGACTCACCCCTGTAATCCCAGCACTTTGGGAGGCTGAGGTGGGCAGATCATGAGGTCAGGAGATTGAGACCATCCTGGCTAATACGGTGAAACCCCATCTCTACTAAAAATACCAAAAAATTAGCCGGGCGTGATGGCGGGCGCCTGTAGTCCTGGCTACTTGGGAGGCTGAGGCAGGAGAATAGTGTGAACCCGGGAGGCGGAGCTTGCAGTGAGCCGAGATCGCGCCACTGCACTCTAGCCTGGGCGACAGTGCGAGACAAAACGTCTCAAAAAAAGAAAAAGAAGTGGGCATGTTCCTTAGAGAAACTGGAGATTTTAAGAAGGAGGAGGCCAAATGGTGCTTTGGCCCTGAAGGCCGTCTCTTGCAGAAGCTTCATTGTGAAGTGGATTGAAGGCCATTCTGAGGGGCAGGGCACAGGTCCCCCCGTGCCCTGCCCACTGCGACAGGTGCCACTCAGACTAGGATGTCCGTCTGCCACATTGCCATTTCTCATTCTCCAACAGGTGGGATTTTTCGGCTACGTGAGCTTCACCGAGGCCACGGCCGGCAACGTGCTCATGCACTTTCCCTCCAACCTGGTGACGGAGATGCTGCGTGTGGGCTTCATGATGTCGGTGGCCGTGGGCTTCCCCATGATGATCCTGCCCTGCCGGCAGGCCCTGAGCACGCTGCTGTGTGAGCAGCAGGTAAGACCCTCAGGGCGCTCTCAGGATCGTAATAGCACAGGTCAGCCTTGCTTCCCACAAGCGCCCAGCTGTCCCGAACCAGAGATGTAGCAGGAAAGTGGGGATTGGCGTCAGAGGAGTCCTGGGAGGGTGGAAGTTGGGGGAGCCTAGAGGAACCAGATTGATGGGCAGGAGCTGATAATGGCCAGACTCTGGAGATGGGCACATGGCGTTCAGTGCACAGTTCTCTTTTGTGTAACTGTGAAAAATTTTAACAATATAGCAGAAGATTTTTGAACCATAAGAGAGGCTGAGTTTGACGCAGGCCATAGTGGTGGTGCCTGTGGTCCCAGCTCCTTGGGAGGCTGAGGCGAGAGGATTGCGTGAGTCCGGGAGGCCAAGGCGAGAGGATTGCGTGAGTCCGGGAGGCCGAGGCGAGAGGATTGCGTGAGTCCGGGAGGCCGAGGCGAGAGGATTGCGTGAGACCGGGAGGCCGAGGCGAGAGGATTGCGTGAGACCGGGAGGCCGAGGCGAGAGGATTGCGTGAGTCCGGGAGGCCGAGGCGAGAGGATTGCGTGAGTCCGGGAGGCCGAGGCGAGAGGATTGCGTGAGTCCAGAAGGTTGAGGTCAAGTGTGATTGCATCACTACACTCTAGCTGGGGCAACAGAGCAAGACCCTGTCTTTAAACACATTTTAAAAATAGGCTGGGTATGGTGGCTCACACCTGTAATCCCAGCCCTTTGGGAGGGCGAGGTGGGAGGATGGCTTAGGCCCAGCAGTTGGAAACCAGCCTGGGCAACATCGCTTGACTCCATCTTTACAAAAAGTTAACAAAAATCAGCCGGGCATGGCAGCGCATGCATGCCTGTAGTCCCAGCGACTCGGGAGGCTGAGGCAGGAGGATCACTTGAACCAAGAATTCAAGGCTGTAGTGGGCCATGACCGCTCCACCATGCCCCAGCCTGGGCTACAAAGTGAGACCCTGTTTCTACAAGAGAAAAAAGGGAAAATAAAGTGTGAGGCTGGGTTTTTTCACAGTAATGTGTGTAGGCAAGGCAGCCGATTAGTTCTTTATAAGAAATTTTCTCCTGTAGGAGTTGAAACTAGAAGGCTGTCCTGGTTCTCTCCTTGTGGCAGAGATAACCATGAAAGGCTGTGCTGTCTTGTGCCCCAAGCACGGGGGTGCAGACGCCGCTCTGCCGTGTTAGAGGAGCCCTGCCTCATCCAGGTTCCCCTCCTGCCTCCCCTTGGGAGCTCCGCCCGGTGGCCCATCCGTCTTCTGTCCCGCAGCCTGAGATCTGTGAGCCTGGTATGTCCCGTCAGCTGGGACTCCCGGTGGCTAGAAGCACACGTTTCTCTTGAAGTGTTTCAGCCAAGGGGGGTTGAGTGGTCTCGGAGAATCCAGGGGAGAGTCCAGCAGTCACAGTGGGGGCGGTGGGTCTCCCTGGGCCTTGGGAACAGCAGCACGGGCTCGCTGTCCATGTGGCCGGGTGCGTGGTCACCATAGCCTGGTGGCAGTCATGTGCCTCCTGCAGACTTCCATCAGCCACATGCCTCTGGCTTCACAGCAGAGGCCAAGCACCAAGGACTGAGCGCCTCCCGCACGTGCTGGTGCTCCTCTCCTGCAGAGTTCAGGCACCTGGGCACGGGCGAGGCAGGATCGAGGAGGCGAGGCCAGAGCCCGTCATCTGGCCGTGGGGTTTCCCCCACGTGTGTGGCCAGGCCGCTTTCACTGTTTGATGTTTTGTACCTGAGCAGCATCTGTATTTCCGTACATGACCCATTTTTATCTTGTTAAAAAATTGATAGTGGCATTAAAGGTATTGTGACTCGAGTAGGAAAGCTCACACACACCCCTTCATCCCAAGGAGGACCTGGCTGTGTTTCCTGTCAGTGCCCGTGGCTTCTTTCCCACAGGTGTGGCCGCGGCCATGCCACCTGCTTTCTTGTCTTCGGCCGATGTGCCGTGAGCGTTTCTCCACGGTCCCTACAAGCCTGCAGGGGCTCTGCTTCCTTGCTTCTCCGCTTGTTGCAGGGGCCTGGGTGCGTTGCTCCTTCACCCTTGACCTCTCATGGATAACCATCTCACGACAGTCTTCATGCTAAAGTCCCCTCTCCCCTTCTCTGGGTCTATGTCATAGGTAAATTTCTAGGACCGGGACTCTTGTGTGATGGACCTAATCCCCAACCTCCCTGGCCTGTATACAAATTATCGCCCTAAGGCCGATAGGAAATTCTGGCTCGAGCTTCCACAGTCCATTCTCTGTAAAAGTCCATTCTGAAAATGGGATGCTTCGAAATTGTAGTTCTAGAAAGTTCTGCGGTTGTTTCTTAGTCCAGGGATAGTCATCATGGCCAGCCCATCCTGTGTGTTAACTCATTTGGTCCTTACCACGGCTGGATGAGGAGCTGCTTCTGTTGACAGATGAGGAAACTGAGGCATGGAGGTTAAGTCACTTGCCTAGGGGCACTCAACTGGGGCTGGTGAGTGGCAGAGCAAGGATTTGAGCCAGGTGGTCTGGCTCCTGTGTCCTGTACTAGAGACCACAGCCGGGGGCCCTGGGGCAGGTGGGGTCTGAGGCCATCTGTCCTTGGCTCTGCCTCCTCCTCTGGAATGAATGGCCCTGGCATCCTGGTGCAGAGCAGTAGAGGCCTGGCTGCACCCTGCAGCCAAAACAGGCACTTGCAATTTGGTGATGCCTCATCATGCCCTTCTCACCTCTTCCTGCACTTTGAAATTGCTCACTGCTTGTTGCACATCTGCTGGAGATGATAACACAACCACGTGTGCGTGTGTGTGTGTATGTGGGATAACACGGCCACATGTGTGAGTGTGTGTGCACGTGTATGTGTGGGATAACACGGCCACATGTGTGAGTGTGTGTGCGTGTGTGCGTGTGGGATAACATGGCCACATGTGTGTGTGTGTGTGTGTGTGCGTGTGTGTGTGGGGGTTCTGCCTGCACCCAGGAGATAACACGGCCATGTGTGCGTGTGTGGGGGCTGTGCCCGCACCCTGAACATGATAACACGGGCACGTGTGTGCGTGGGGGTTGTGCCCTCACCCTGAAGATGATAACACGGCCACGTGTGTGCGTGGGGGCTGTGCCCTCACCCTGAAGATGATAACACGGCCACGTGTGTGCGTGGGGGTTGTGCCCTCACCCTGAAGATGATAACACGGCCACATGTGTGCGTGTGTGTGTGGGGGCTGTGCCCACATCCTGAAGATAACACGGCCACATGTGTGCGTGTGTGTGTGTGTGGGTTGTGCCCTCATCCTGAAACCTGCGGGCCAGGAGAGGCCTAGAGACGTTTGGCAGGAGCGGCGCTGTGCAGCCTGTATTCTGCTCTCCATACTTCCTGGCACTTAAAAAACTCTCTCATGGTATCGCTCTAAAAGCAAAAAGGAAAACGGAAGGACTCGGTCCTCACATTTCAAAAGGACGTTGTAAAGTTTATGGTCTGTGCCTGGGGTGAGAAGCCCTCGTGCCTTCCTGGCGTGTTGCAGGTTTGGGTTGCAGGTTCCCGTTCAAGTTGCTCAGCCAGATCTGATTGTGCTGGTCAGGCTCACCTGCCAGGTGAGCGCGCGGCTGGCCTTACATGGAGATGTACCTGGTGCACCTGCCAGGTGAGCGCGCGGCTGGCCTCATGTGGAGATGTGCCCGGTGTGCCTGGCAGAACCCTTTCAGGCTTTGCTTTTTAGGAGAGTGGTGGAGGAAATCAGTCCTTTCAAAACCTTTTCGTTTTTCTTTTATACAGCAAAAAGATGGCACCTTTGCAGCAGGGGGCTACATGCCCCCTCTCCGGTTTAAAGCGCTTACCCTCTCTGTGGTGTTTGGAACCATGGTCGGTGGCATCCTTATCCCCAATGGTAAGGCGGGAGGGCTGCTCTAGTGCCGGGCAGTGGGACCCGGGGGCTTCGGCATCAACCAAGACCTGCCCAGTTATGAGCCGTCTTCTCTGGTCTCCTAAAAAAGTCTAGAGACTTTTTTGTCATTTTTTCTCTGGCTCATGGAGAAAGGCAGGGGATAAAATCTGGCAGCTTGAGCCGGGCGCAGTGGCTCATGCTTGTAATCCCAGCACTTTGGGAGGTTGAGGTGGGCGGATCACCTGAGGTTGGGAGTTCAAGACCAGCCTGACCAACATGGAGAAACCCTGTCTCTACTAAAAATACAAAATTAGCCGGGTGTGGTGATGCATGCCTGTAATCCCAGGTAGTCGAGGGGCCGAGGCAAAAGAATCACTTGAACCCGGGAGGAGGAGGTTGCTGTGAGCCGAGCCGAGATCGCGCCATTGTACTCCAAGCTGGGCAACAGGAGAGAAACTCCGTCTCAAAAAAAAAAAAAAAAAAAAAAAAAAATCTGGCAGCTCGCCAGGCACGGTGGCTCACACCTGTAATCCCAGTACTTTGGGAGGCCAAAGTGGGTGGATCGCGAGGTCAGGAGATCAAGACCATCCTAGCTAACACGGTGAAACCCTGTGTCTACTAAAAATACCAAAAAATTAGCCAGGTGTGGTGGCGGGCGCCTGTAGTCCCAGCTACTCGGGAGGCTGAGGCAGGAGAATGGCGTGAACCCGGGAGGTGGAGTTTGCAGTGAGCCGAGATCGCGCCACTGCACTCCAGCCTGGGCGACAGAGCGAGACTCCGTCTCAAAAAAAAAAAAAAAATTCTGGCAGCTTGATGGAACAGCAGACACCCGTTGACAGCTGGGTGGAGAGAGACTGCAGTGCTGGGACACAGGCTCGATTTGTAGAACCAACTATTCTAGAACAGCGCATGCTGTCCTGTTGTTTCTTTTGACTTCTGATTTTGTTGACGCATTACCAAGGGAAGCGTTGAAGGCCCTGAACGTATTTGTGTTACCCAAATGCACCCGCTCCCTAGCAGACAAGACAGAGCTCATTATCATCAGATCCACAGGGGAACTCGCACTCACTCTCCCCAGGGAACAGCCCTAGAGGTGATCTGTCTGGGCTCCTGGCAGGGGCTGCAGCCTGGCATACACGCTGGGCCCTGGCTTCTCCACCTGCCCTTGGGTAGGTCCTGCCCGCCTAGGGCCACTCATGGAGCAGCAGGCAGGAGAGGCTGCGCGGGAGCCGTGCTGTGCGGAGCCAGCATTTGGTTTCGGCAGGAAGTCCCTAGTGTCTGACTCTGTTTTTTATTTTTTTTGAGACGGAGTCTTGGTCTGTCGCCCAGGCTGGAGTGCAGTGGTGCGATCTCGGCTCACTGCAAGCTCCACGTCCTGGGTTCACGCCATTCTCCTGCCTCAGCCTCCCGAGTAGCTGGGACTACAGGCTCCCGCCACCACACCCGGCTAAGTTTTTGGTATTTTTAGTAGAGACGGGGTTTCACCGTGTTAGCCAGGATGGTCTCGATCTCCTGACCTCGTGATCTGCCCGCCTCTGCCTCCCAAAGTGCTGGGATTGCAGGCGTGAGCCACTGCGCCGGGCCGTGTCTTGACTCTTTAAAGATGAGCCATCAGAAAATTCACCCCGGAGCCCAAATGCACTGTTGGAGGAATCAGCCGCAGTTGTCAGGCTTTCTGGGCACAGAGGGCGTGTCTGCTCCCGGCTCTCGCCTGGACGGCCTTTCCTTCAGTGCTGGCTTGCTCGCCTGTGTGCTGGGCAAAAAAGCTCAGGTCCCCTCCTGGCCGGAGCCCTTTCCCACTCATCTCTTCCTGTCACTTCTCTTTCCTAGTGGAGACCATCCTGGGCCTCACGGGCGCGACCATGGGAAGCCTCATCTGCTTCATCTGCCCGGCACTGATCTACAAGAAAATCCACAAGAACGCGCTTTCCTCCCAGGTGCGCACCGCTCGAGGGCTGGCCTGGACCACGGCTGATTGGTCTGGGCTGGGGCGAGGTGAAGTCGGAAGGGAAGCCCCTGGTTCAGCGTTTTCAGACGGGTTCTGTCAAGAAACTGAAAACCCACAAAAGGGACTTGGTCCAGTCAGCCTGGGGAACCCTGGGTTCACCAGGACGCACGGTCTTTGCCCAGCAGGGCCACACCGACCTGCTCCAGCTGTGCATCATCAGGTTTTCCTGAGGCCGACTGTGCTGAGTCGTAAGCTCTTTCCCCGTGGTGTTTCTGCAGTGACTGCTTGTCCATGGATCTGCTGCCAGCTCTGAGTCCCCTCCCCAGCCGCCCACCCCCGAGGCCACCACCCGCTGTTGTTCCTGGCGCGACCCTCGTGTGGCAGTCTGTGCACGTCCACTCACGCGGCGGTCTGTGTGCGCGCATGTGCGTTTTTCTTTAATCGCAACACAGTTTCCTACTGCTTTTCTCAAAATCCTGTGCAGGTCAGGTTGCCCCACAGCCGTGGGCACAGAACTGCCTGGCTATTTTTAGCCATTTCATGGTGTTCCGTGGTAGAAAAATTCCATAATCCCAGTCTCCGAAGTATTTACCTCTCCGGTCTTCTGGTATTGCAGACAGAATCACGCTGAATATGTGTTCGTGAGCATGTCGACGTGTTTGAGCGTGCGTCTGTAGGAAGCCTTCTAGAAGTGGAATCCTGTGTCAGGGGTGTGAGCATTTGTAAACGTGCTGGCTCTACCTAAATTGCCTGCATCATCACTCCCAGCCAGGCCCAAGGCTTCTGTCCCTGCACCCAGGACCTTCCAGGCTTCATCATTCTTGGCCTCTCTGGCGGGAGCTTGAGCGTCTTTTCGTGGGTTTAGAAGCCACTTGTGTTTCTGTTTCTGTGAACTGCCTGGGTTCTTTGCTCACTTTTTAGGGAGTTGTTGAGCTTTTTCTTACTGGTATATATTGATAATTTTTTTTTTTTTCTTTTGAGACAGAGTTTCACTCTTGTTGCCCAGGCTGGAGTGCAGTGGTGCAATCTCAGCTCACTGCAGCCTCCGCCTCCCGGGTTCAAGTGATTCTCCTGCCTCAGTCTCCCGAGTAGCTGAGATTACAGGCACACGTCACCACGCCCAGCTAATTTTGTATTTTTAGTGAGACGGGGTTTCTCCATGTTGGTCACACTGGTCTTGAACTCTTGACCCCAGGTGATCCACCCGCCTCGACCTCCCAAAGTGCTGGGATTACAGGTGTGAGCCACCGCACCCGGCCTCAACCTGGTAAGTTTTTACAAAGTGAACCATGTGGAACCACCATCCAGAGCAGACATAGGACATCCCAGCACCCCAGAGCTCCCCGTGGGTGCCTCACTGTCATCCACCCCCACCCCAAAGATCACTGCCCATCTGTCCGCCAGCATTCTAGAGTGATCTTGCCTGTCTTCAAGTTGTGGTAAATAGATTCTTAGGCCGGGCGCGGTGGCTCAAGCCTGTAATCCCAGCACTTTAGGAGGCCGAGACGGGCGGATCACGAGGTCAGGAGATCGAGACCATCCTGGCTAACACGGTGAAACCCCGTCTCTACTTAAAAAAAAATACAAAAAACTATCTGGGCGAGGTGGCGGGCGCCTGTAGTCCCAGCTACTCGGGAGGCTGAGGCAGGAGAATGGCGTAAACCCGGGAGGCGGAGCTTGCAGTGAGCTGAGATCCGGCCACTACGCTCCAGCCTGGGGGACAGAGCGAGATTCCGTCTCAAAAAAAAAAAAAAATAGATTCTTACAGTGTACGTTAGAATACATGTCCACGTGTGTCAGCCACTTCTTCAGCATCTCGGCTCACTGCGACCTCTGCCTCCTGGGTTCAAGCAATTCTCCTGCTTCAGCTTCCTGAGTAGCTGGGATTCCAGGTGCGCGCCACTACACCCATCTAATTTTTGTATTTTTAGTAGAGATGGGGTTTTACCATGTTGGCCAGGCTGGTCTCAAACTCCTGACCTCAAATGATCCACCTGCCTCAGCCTCCCAAAGTGCTGGGATTACAGACGTGAGCCACTGCACCTGGCCCCTTATTGATTTTTTGATCATGTTGTTTATGAGTTGTGAGAAAGGTATGATAATTCCTACTGTAATTGTAGATTTATTTGTCCTTTTAGTTCTATCACTTTTTGCTTTTTAGTTTGAAGCCATGTTATTAGGAGCAGACAGATTGAAGTTGGTTATATCTCCGTTTTGAATTGACTTTTGTTGAATATTCCTTTTTATCATTGGAAATACTTTCTCCTTCAAGTTGGCTTTGTAGCTAACTTAGCTCTGCTTTGGGTTTGTGCAGGATGGCTTGTTTCATCCCTTTTCTTTTGATTTCTCTAGTCCATCATATTCACAGTGTGTCTCTTACAATAGCACGTAGCTGACTTTTGTCTTGTTGTTATTCAGTCTGTGAATGGGAGTATTTAAGACTATTTACGGTTAATATAATAACTGATTTTTGGGAGAAAACTTTTAACTTATGTCCTATTATTTGTCTCATATGTCCTTTTTCTGTTTTTTGCTTTTTCTTTCTTCAGATCAATCAAACATTTAAATATTTACTCTTCTTTTAGCTTGTTGGTACGTTTCTATCCTTCTAACGATTACACTAGGCAGTTTATAACAACCCTTATTTAAAACTCCACAAGTGCCGGGCGCGGTGGCTCACGCCTGTAATCCCAGCACTTTGGGAGGCTGAGGCGGGCGGATCATGAGGTCAGGAGATCAAGACCATCCTGGCTAACACTGTGAAACCCCATCTCTACTAAAAATACAAAAAAAACTTAGCCGGGCGTGGTGACGGGTACCTGTAGTCCCAGCTACTCAGGAGGCTAAGGCAGAAGAATGGCGTGAACCCGGGAGGCGGAGATTGGGGTGAGCCGAGATCACGTCACTGCAGTCCAGCCTGGGCGACAGAGCGAGACTCTGTCTCAAAAATAAATAAATAAAACTCTACAAGACATTGTTATTGTTGTTTCAAATAGTAGTTATTGATCCAGGCATGGTGGCTCACGCCTGTAATCTCAGCACTCTGGGAGGCTGAGGCAGGAGAATCACCTGAATCCGGGGGGTGGAGGTTGCAGTGAGCCGAGATCGCACCACTGTACTCCAGCCTGGGCAACAGAGCGAGAACCTCCATCTCAAAAAAAAAAGAAAAAGAAAAAGAAAAAAGTATTTATATTGATTCTTTGTGGCTTCTTGTTTTTTTTGTCATGGGGTCTTGTTTTCTAGTGTGCCTGGTATTTTGCAGGTGTCGTGTTTGAGAAATCGTAGAAGGTCTGGGTGACGTCATCCATCATACAGGGGATAGGCAGAAGGCCTGTGTCCCATTGAGGCAGATGTGTTTCCAGTTGGCCTTGTTCCCAGGGTACAGCCCTTCTGGGGTCTCAGCTGGGCAGTGACGCCCTCAGATGGTGGAATCCTCTGCTTGGCGTTCGTCTTGCTCCTTTCTGCATAGCTCGTAGCTGGCAAGCGCTTTGGGGGAGATTTTTGCACACAGAATGTGGAGTGACATGCTTCTCTGAGGTTTCCTTCTCTCCCTCGAGTTCTGCCTGCTGGGGCACCCTCATTCTTCCTTCTCGGTGCCCAGCCCTGTGAGTGTGCCCAGGCTCTAGGCTGTTGCGTTCTCTTGTCACGTCTGCTCAGTCCCAGTCATCGATGAGGCTCCAAGTACAACAGGCTTAATCTCGCTGTGACTGAGGGCTCTTCTCTGTCCTCTGGGATCCGGACCTTGCAAGTCTGAGCTGACAAAGTTGTTTACCAGTGTCTTCGGTTGGGTGTTTTTATTGTTTTTATCCAGCTTTTACCGTTGTTTTAAATGGGAAGACCAGTCTGATACCAGCTGTTAAGCCATAGCTTGAGGAGGAAGTTTCTTGGCGAGTTCTAGGAACTTCACATGGCGTGAGAGGCTCAGCCTCTGCCCATCAGATGCCACTTGTCCTGCTATGCCAGGTCCCATGTTTTAGTCCACGGGGCTTTCTTAGAAAAAAGTCTGTTCTGTGAGTTAGCAGGAGAAAGAAGGAAAGAAAGAAGGGACGGAGGGAGGGAGGAAGAAAGGAAAGAAAGAAAGAGAAAGAAAGAGTCATAGTTAGAATTTCCACACTCCAGTATTATTTTAAAATAATTCCTCCCTCATTTTTTCTAATACTTTAATGACCTTCTTTTTTTTTAATTTAAATCTTTGGTCCACCTGTATTTTATTTTGGTGTAAGAAACAAAGATGTTTCCTGAGTTTGTTTCTAGGTGGTTCTGTAGTCGTCAGACATGATTTATTGAATAATCATCACTGATGGGAAATGGTGTCACTATTGTAGGTTAAATTCTTGTGTGTATTCAGGCCTCACTTGGGACCTGTGTTTTACTTTATTGGTTGGTCTGGCCTTCCATACCGTGTTAGTTGTGTGTTAGTTGCGTGTTCGTTGCGCACCGTGGTGACACTCACCGAGCTGTGACTCGTGGCTCTTGGAACATTTTAATTCTCGTCCCGCCTCTTGGCTACGAATAATACGTTTTCTGCATAGTCCTCTTTGTTTTATTTTCTGTGTGAATGTTGGAATCAGCCGATCTGACTCTAACAAAAAATTCGTCCTGCTTTTTATCTTTCAGTCTAACTGGCTTCTTGAAACTATAGATTAACTTGGGAATTGCCGTCTTTACACTGCAGCGGACACGCAGGTGTCCACGCGACTCCCCTGCCCAGCAGGAGGGCACCGTGTTTGGCTTCTCCAGACCTCACGAGGTCCTTCGTCCCCGTCTGTTTCCCAGGCCGCTGTTGGCTGCACTGCACGCTATCCTGGATCTCTTTTCCCCCTGGATTTTCTAAGTGGCTGTTCGTGTAAAGGGAAGCCAGAGATTTCATAGGTGACATTTTCACCTGTTCACCTTACTGTACTCCTGCTGGATCTCTTGGCTTTTCACCTGCAGCTAATGATGATGTCACCTCCCTCTTTCCAGTTGCCGCAGCACTTCCTCCTCTCTTGCCCGTGTGTGGCGTCATGCGCCTGTGGCCACGGCGCTGCTGGTGTAAGTGGCTGGCGGGTCACTGACTCACTAGTGTTTAACCGTTAACCCAGTGTCGGCTTTTGACTTGATGTGTAGACGTGTAGACAAACGCGGAGAATCGAGTGAAAGAAGCATCTCTCTGTGCCTGCTTTGCCATGTTTTTTAGAAGCTAGAAAGCGCGTTGAGTCGCGTTCGCCACGGTTTGGCTGCGCGTGGAGGAGACGGACAGGTTTCTTTCTCCCTCTGACTTGGGTCTGGTGTGTCCCGTTCCCAGCGCTCCTGCGGCTCTGCAGTAGGTCGTGGAGCCAGCAGACGACGTGTGCCATCCGCTCAGCATGCCCTGTTTCCTTAGGTATGGAGATGTCAACACCACAAGGCCGTACCCGGGGCCTGTGGCGCAACATCTCGGCACGGCCACTGTCCCAGGGGCTCCGGCCGCGCCATGGAGGGGCACAAGCCTGGGTCTGCGCCTCAGCCCGGCTGAGTACTCTCGGCGATGTGGTGCCTGTACCCGGCCCAGGGACCTCAGGAAGAGCCACAACTGGTGCTATGCTGGGATGGACAGGGAAGTGGGGACACCTGTATGGTGGGTGAATCAAGGCTGTGCTGGAGAAAGACGTGAAAAGAAGGAATGTTCCAGCTCATCCTCACATCAACCGGGGGCAGGAAGATAGGTCAGCCCTGAGGGAATCGAAAAGATACCTCTGTCACCACGTGTTTTGTTCTTTGTTTTTTGAGACGGAGTCTTGCTCTGTCCCCCAGGCTGGAGTGCAGTGGTGCGATCTCGGCTCACTGCAAGCTCCGCCTCCCGGGTTCAAGCGATTCTCCTGCCTCAGCCTCCCCAGGAGCTGGGACTACAGGCGTGCGCCACCACACCCGGCTAATTTTTGTATTTTTAGTAGAGATGGGGTTTCACCGTGTTGGCCAGGCTGGTCTTGAACACTCCTGACCTCAGGTGATCCACTTGCCTCGGCTTCCCAAAGTGCTGGGATTACAGGCGTGAGCCACCACACCCGCCTTGTTTGGTTCTTTATTTTGAAAGTCAGAAAAGTCAAGGGTCTCTCCAATCCTGAGTGAGGCTGGGGCTTTGGTCCTGCTGCCTGGGAACCATGAGGGGGTGGAGCAGCAGGTGGCTTAGAAGGTGCCTGAGGGCCACGCCGAGGGTGGATCCCTGGGGCACGGGAGGCCGCCTCACAGGGGCGCACCCAGAGGGCAGTAGTCCCCAAAAGGCCTGAAAGCCGGCCCCTGCTCCTGGAAGATGTAATGAAATGAACACTGTGACTCGCAGACATGAGCCACCAGCGGGGCGTCTGCCTGTAACCAGGGAGGATCCCCAAGGCCTGCTGAGGCTTGGGGCCTTGCTGGGTGGGTGCCTGGATGCTAACCGGGCTGCCCTGAGACCCAGATTGAGGCGCGTGGTGCACAGCAGCCAGACCCCCCGCCTCCAGCTGTGCTTTTCGTGACGGAAGTGCGGGGTGTGCACTCGCGCTCTGTCTACACGTGTGGAGCGAAAGTGAGCGTTTTTTCCCCTGCCCCTGGTGCTTCTCTCTGCATTTGACTCAGCGATGCCTTGTGTGTCTGGAGGCCCTGATCACTTCTGCAGGGGAGGGTGCTATGATCCGGGCAGTGTGTGGCCCCTGGTCAGGCCCCTGGATTTCCAAACTCAGGTGAGACGTCTGGAGTGGGCTTGCATTCCTCCTGCCGGCCGGCTCTGCGGCTGTGTTGATCTGATCGCTGCCGAAATGAAAGTCTCGGGGTGCTCTGAAACCAGGTGTCTGGCACACTGGTCCTGTTGAACGACCGTGTCCTCAAAGGAAGTTCTTCGGCTCTGCAGGAAGCTGTGCTGGAAGGCACAGGACTGGAGGCTGCGCTGGGGCTCCATGGGCTTCCCCCTGCCACTGAGCCTGGGCAGCCGCTGCACTCCCCACAGGCCCCCCAAGTTCCCAGCCGTCCCGTCTGTGCCCAGTTAGAGGTGAGGGTGTGCTGCCCTGCGGGGCAGGGTTCCTACACTGAGGGGCTTCCCAGGGCTTCCAGACAACACGGTCTCCTGTCCAGGCACTTCCTGGTGGGTTGGGTTAAATTTCCATCCAGACCCTTTATCCCAGGTGGCCCGAGCCTGGTGTCTGCCCTGTGCTGGCTGGCAGAGGCCTCAGGAGGGCAGGGCCTGAAGACAGAGGTCCAGGGGCATCTCTGGTGTAGGAGAGGTCACAAGGGCTGTAACGGGCCCCCAAGGCCTGCCTCTGATGGCCTTTCCTTCTGGCATCAGGCCTCTAAGCCATGGCCACCCATGTCACCCACTGACAGCTGCTACCGGGCAGGCCTTTCCACACGTGCTCCCTACACAGATCGCATAGCCTCGGGAGATTTCAGGTTTCTTCCTCTTTTTATTATCTTAAGCCTGCTTTGGGCGCGGTGGCTCAAGCCTGTAATCCCAGCACTTTGGGAGGCCGAGACGGGCGGATCACGAGGTCAGGAGATCGAGACCATCCTGGCTGACACGGTGAAATCCCGTCTCTACTAAAAATACAAAAAACTAGCCGGGCGAGGTGGCGGGCGCCTGTAGTCCCAGCTACTTGGGAGGCTGAGGCAGGAGAATGGCGTAAACCCGGGAGGCGGAGCTTGCAGTGAGCTGAGATCCGGCCACTGCACTCCAGCCTGGGCGACAGAGCGAGACTCCGTCTCAAAAAAAAAAAAAAGACTGCTTTGGTCGCCTTCCGGACACCACCACTGCCCTGGGACTCTTCCCTTCGCTGCAAGGAAGATGTAACGTGGCTGAAGGGGCCTGTACAAATGCAGAACATTTGGGGCCAGGGTGAGGCAGACTCTGCGGGCCACCGAGCCTGCAGGCCTTGCCCAGACCTCCAGAACATACATCAGACAGTGGCCCCACGTGCACCTGGGGCAGGCCTGCCATCACCACATGCTCCGGCCAGCTGTGGCTACTGCCAGAGGGGCCTTGGGCTCCCTGGGCATCCTACAAGCCCTGAGGCACACGGCGGCCGGGCTCTCTTCGGCGGAGCCCACTGACCTCAGAGCCTCAGCAGCACCTGGTGTCCGGAGACACCAACACTAGCCCCGTGCTTCCAGGTGGCAGAGAGGGAAGTGGAGGAAGCAGGCTCTCCGCCGGCTTTTCTTTTTCAGTCGCCACCAGCTTCAGAGAGTGCGGGTCCTTCCCGCCGCGGAGCCCTCTTCTCTAATTGTGTTGGACCAGGGAGGTGTCACCAGTTCTTCTGAACGGATTCTGTCCCTCCCGCTCCAGCCTGAATGGCTGGCATAGCTCTGACAGGGTTGGCTCATGACCCCAGCTGGCGGGGAGGGCTTGTCAGCCACAGGCTGGATGCCAGGAGTCCCGCCATGCTCTGAGAGCAGCGCATCAGGGCTCAGCCCTCTCCCAGCCGTCAGGAGCTTCGCCGGCAGGCGGGCCCAAGTCTCCCCGGGAGTGGCCACCTGTCCTCAGGCAGGGCGGACTGCACGCCTGTCACCCTCGGGGGACTTTGTCATGTCCACTCTCCTCGTGCCTCACCCCGTCCCGGAGCCTCTCTGCCAGGCCAGTTTTATGCTCGGCAGGAGCGGGGGCCACAGCTGTGACTCCCGCCCCTGGGGTCTTTGTCTCCGCAGGTGGTGCTGTGGGTCGGCCTGGGCATCCTGGTGGTGAGCACTGTCACCACACTGTCTGTGGGCGAGGAGGTCCCCGAGGACTTGGCAGAGGAAGCCCCCGGTGGCCGACTTGGAGAGGCCGAGGGTTTGGTGAAGGCAGAGGCAGCGCGACTCTCAGGTATGCCCACCCTGGGCCTTTGAGCCTTCTCAGGGCAGGTGCCCACTGGGCATCTCCTGGGTCTGGTCCAAGGATTGTGCTTATCTGCTCAGTGGCCTCTGTCCTATGTGGGTGCAGCCAGCGGGGTAGGGCCACCGCCTTGCCCATGAAGATGCTCTGTGCACCATGGCTGGCTGTGGGGTGACCGCCTGTATGCAGGGAACGTGGGACAGGAGTGGCCGCCTGTATGCGGGGAACGTGGGACAGGAGTGGCCGCCTGTATGCGGGTAACGTGGGACAGGAGTGGCCGCCTGTATGCGGGGAACGTGGGACGGGAGTGGCCGCCTGTATGCGGGGAACGTGGGACGGGAGTGGCCGCCTGTATGCGGGGAATGTGGGACGGAGTGGCCGCCTGTATGCGGGGAACGTGGGACGGGAGTGGCCGCCTGTATGCGGGGAACGTGGGACGGGAGTGGCCGCCTGTATGTGGGGAATGTGGGACGGAGTGGCCGCCGGCCTGGATGCCTGCCACTCGGTGGGCTAGGTGGGGTGTACGTTTCTGAGTGTTGCTCACGTGCTGTTCATTTGAGGATGTCAGTTTCTCCGGTTTTCTCCTGGACAGGGTCGGCGATCAGGCCTCAGTTTGGTGTGCTGCTTCAGGTTATTTATTATTTGTTCACCAGGACCGTGGGTGGAGTTAGGACCGTGAGCCCTCATGCAGCTAGCTGCAGGCCACTTTGGGATGGGCCCCGCGGTGCCCCGTAATCTTGACTCTCCGTCTGTGGCACAGTCCCGGCCGTGGTGCCCCGTAACCCTGATGCCTCCGTCTGTGGCAGAGCCCAGGGGTGCAGAAATAGGTGTTTCCTGAGTGTGGCTTTCCAGGTGCAGCTGCAGCTCCGTGGCCTGGATGGCTACTGCCTCCCTGACCCTCCCAGGCCTAGAGGGGGAGTGCCACACTGGGCGGCCCTGCAGGCAGCAGACCTCCCCGGGCCCAGGCCTGCCCACGAGCTCTGAGTGGCGCCAGGCAGGCATGGGCAGGCAGGTGCCGTCCACGATGACCTTCATGCTGGGGTCTTCTGCCCCTGACAACAGCCGGGTTTATTCATCCACAGTGCCTGTGTGTCTGCCACGTCCAACGCACCCCTGAGCAGAGGCCCCAGCTCAGTCAGATTGTCTGGGCGTCATCTGCACACCACCCTGGGAGCCCTGGTGAGCAGTACCGGCTGTGGCTGGGGGTCTCAGGTCGCTGTGGAGGTGCTGGCCAGTGACTTCCTCCTCGGGGAGGGGCCTCCACTTCTATAATGGCCAGGAGGAGAGGTCCGTCGAAGGGAGCCCCTGGCTTCTGCTGAGCGTGTGGGGGCGCCGTCTCAGCCGTGACCCTGGGGCTTCTTGTCATCTCTGCTCTGAGCTCCGCACTCTGTGCCTGGAAAGCTCCTTCCCAGTGTTGTCACCTCATACACACCCTCCGAGGGTCTCCCTGGATCCGCTGTGCTCAGATTTGCCAAGGATGACTGTTCCTGGATGGCGAAGGTGGGCAGGGGAGCCCTGCCTTCTGGGTTCCCTGCAGCTGGCGGGGCTGTGGCTGGGGACAGTTGGGGTCACCAGAGGAAGAAAACGTGAGTGTTGGAAGCCGCCGGTGGCTGCCAGCTGCCCTGCATTGGCTTTGGTGATTCGGCCTGGAACAAAGTCCACCTGGAGAGGCAGGTGGGGGTTTTACACCCACCTCAGCTGGGGCCCCAGGCTCGGTGCTGCTGAGCAGGGCCACCTGTTGCTGTCCAGGCCTCTGAGCTAGAGTGGGCGCTGACACGGAAACTTGTCGGTGGGTCCAGTGTGCTGGGACCCCCCGGCCTGGGCAGTGAGGGGTGTCGCCCTCGTCTAGCGGGCTGCTGGGAGTGGACTTCTCTTCTCAGTGGCAGCCAGCAGGAGGCTCCCCGTCCCCCCAGCCCTGCACGGCCTCCGCTTGCGGCTGGTGCAAGCAGCTGTATCCTGTCATGAGGCTTGTGCGGGCCGCGAGCCTCCGGCTCACCTGGTGCCCTCCGAGGCCACATCTGGTTTCTATTTCTTCCACGAGGCTGTAACAAAACACATGGCCCCTCTCAGAACCACATGCCGCTTGTTTTTAGCGTGTCTCCGATTTTCCAGCCCCGGCTCCCCCATAATAGATGGGCTGCCTGGCTGAGGCTGAGCTGGGGTCGAGGGTCCTGCACCGATGCGCGCTCCCTGTCGGACGGCTGAGCGGAGTTTTATTGGTCTCCTTGATGCTGCAGAGGCCAAAAATGGTATCTGCTGACCGGGTGAGAGTCCTGCGTGGCCCTGGGCTATGGCTGGGAATCCCATCCTCATGCAGATGTCGTGGTTAGACGCGCACAGCCTGGGCCTCATGCACGGCCTCGCAGGTCTTTGTGAGCATGGCTGAGTCCCTGCAAAGGCTCATGAAGACGGTTACCTTGAAAGCTGGGAGTCGGGCCGTTCCTACCTGCTCTCTCTAGCACCCTGGAGGCGAGGGGCAGGTTCGGGTTTTGTGACATCTGTTCCTTTCTTGGAGCTGCAGGTCCCCCGTCCCTCCCGGTTCCTGCACGCCCCTCATTTGCTGCACGGGGCAGCACAGCAGGGCCCACACCCCTCAGGCACCCTCGTGCCCGCTCCCCCAGTGGGGCAGGCACAGCTGCACTTCCACTTGGTGAGCAAATGAGGCAGCGGCCTGGCTGAGAAGGGAGCCAGAATGCGGTGATAGGGGACGGAATGAGGGTCTGGCTGGGTGTCGACGGGTCGTGCGTGTTGGTGCAGGGGCAGAGATGGCCACAGTTCTGTGTGCTCAGGCCCAAGCGGGGACACACGGCCCCCACGCGTGGAGCCAGGTCACATGGCCCAACCCAGGCCAGAGGTTGCGGGAGGCAGGGTCCTTCGGAACCTGGCCAGGTCCTGTGCGGCTGGCACAGTTATCTCAGACAATGGAATCAGCTCCCTGCCATTTCAGGACAGCAGCAGAAACACGGCACAAAATTATAACAGGAGGAGAGGTGTGGGGGACACAGCAAAGGAGCTATCAGAAGCCTTCTCCGGGCCAGTGTGGTGGCTCACACCTGGAATCCCAGCACTTTGGGAGGCCAAGGCAGGAGGATCACCTGAGGTCAGGAGTTTGAGATCAGCCCGGCCAACATGGTGAAACCCCGTCTCTACTAAAAATACAAAAATGAGCCGGGTATAGTGGCAGGATGCTGAGGTGGGAGGATCGCTTGAGCCTGGAAGGTCGAGGCTGCAGGGAGCCGAGATGGCACCACTGCACTCCAGCCTGGGTGACAGAGTGGGACCCTGTCTCTTAAAAAAAAAAAAAAAAAGGCCGGGCACAGTGGCTCAAGCCTGTAATCCCAGCACTTTGGAAGGCCCAGGCGGGCGGATCACGAGGTCAGGAGATCGAGACCATCCTGGCTAACACGGTGAAACCCCGTCTCTACTAAAAAATACAAAAAAACTAGCCGGGCGAGGTGGCGGGCGCCTGTAGTCCCAGCTACTCGGGAGGCTGAGGCAGGAGGATGGTGTAAACCCGGGAGGCGGAGCTTGCAGTGAGCCGAGATCCGTCCACTGCACTCCAGCCTGGGCGACAGAGCAAGACTCTGTCTCAAACAAACAAACAAACAAACAAACAAAAAGCTTTCTCAGTAGGGCATTGCTCCAGCAGGGTGGCAATGTCCCCACAGTCAGAGGAGAGAAGGGGGAAGCATGTGGCCCTAAGTCTCTCACAGATCATTCTGTGCTGTATGGAAGGAACTGGGAGCTTCTCCCGCCTCCCAAGAGACAGCAGCAGTGCCAGCCGCAGTGGAGGCAAAAGCAGTGGTGAGGAGGTTCCGCCTGCTGGAGGCTGTACCAGGGCCTGGCTGTGTTGCCAGCCCAGACACCCGGGTACCAGGAGCCAGATGGCCTGGGATTCCCCTTCACGTTCGGAAAGATGAGACCATGAGGTCATCGGTCAGCTATGTGTGGAAGATTGGGCTGTAAAGCCAAGCCCTTAATGAGTAATCCTTTCTCATGGCAGCATCAAGGGAAAGTCAGAAAGCAGCTATTGGAAAAGTTGCCTAAAAGCAGGGACTAGCTTTTAAAAGTCACGTCAGCGGCCATTGTTCCCGCCTCTTGCGAGTGTGGCGCCCTGGGATCCTGAGCCTCCTCGTGAACTTGGGGTGGCGCTCGAGTGGATGAGGAACTCCATCAGTGGGATGCTGGGACTATGTTTCTTTTTTTTTTTTTTTTGAGATGGAGTCTCGCTCTGTCACCCAGGCTGGAGTGCAGCGGCCGGATCTCAGCTCACTGCAAGCTCCGCCTCCCGGGTTTACGCCATTCTCCTGCCTCAGCCTCCCGAGTAGCTGGGACTACAGGCACCTGCCACCACGCCCGGCTAGTTTTTTGTATTTTTTAGTAGAGACGGGGTTTCACTGTGTTAGCCCGGGTGGTCTCGATCTCCTGACCTTGTGATCCGCCTGTCTCGGCCTCCCAAAGTGCTGGGATTACAGGCGTGAGCCGCCGCGCCCAGCCACCGGGACCATGTTTAAAAGTCGCTTCTTCTGGGGACCATCTGACATGACTGTCTCCGCCTTTGCTGATCACAAGGCACACAGAGGGAGCCACGGCGGGTCCAGGCTGGCAGCCTGCAGAGCCACCTTGCCAACTCTTGGGGTCTGGACGGCAGCGTCGCTGGCCTCCCTGCCCGTCTGTGCTGGCCTTTGGTCTGGGGTGGACGCCAGCCTTGAATGTGGAGTTGGGGACGCATTAGATGTTGCCCCTTCCCCTCCAGGTCACCACCTCCAAGTCCCCGAGTGTGCCTCACTCCAAAGACTGAGTCCTGAGCTGTGGCCTTGGCAGCCTCGGGGCCTCCGTGCCCGACTGGACAGCAGGGAGGAAAGTGAGGGATCCGCCTCCGCCGTGGCCCAGTTGTGGCCTCTGTCACTTGTTAGGAAGGTGTGTGTTTCTGTGCGTGCCAGGAGCTGGGAACCTGCGTCAGCACCCGGCAGTGAGGAGCCACTGGGACAGGGCCTAACACGGCATCCCTGGCACCGGCGCCGATGACGCCCACGGGTCGTGGTTTTTTGTGACTGGAGATGATTTTTGTTTTTCTTTTTGAGACAGAATCTCGCTCTGTCGCCCAGGCTGGAGTGCACTGGCACGATACTGGCTAACTACAGCCTCCACCTCCCAAGTTCAAGCGATTCTCCCACCTCAGCCTCCCGAGTAGCCGAGAGTATAGGCACGGCACCACACCCGGCTAATTTTGTATTTTTTGTTGAGACAGGGTTTCGCCGGGATGGTGTTAAACTCCTGACCTCGAGTGGTCTTCCTGCCTCGGCCGCACCGCACACCTGGCCTGGAGGCGATTTTTGAAGCCGAATGAGGGGGATGGTTGCTCTGCGGCAGCACCCTCCGCTGGGTGTTCCTGGGGGGGTGTGTGGAGCTGTCCCTCTTGGCCGTGGCCGCCTCTACTGTGGCTTAGCTGGTGTATTGCTGGCCTCTTAGGAGAAGAAATTCAGATGCCAGAGATCTCCTCCCTCCTGAGGAGCTCAGTCGTGAGCTGGCGGGGGCACTGCCCACACAGGGCCCCTTTCTGTCTTTGCGCAACCTGTGTTCATGTCGAGATCCGAAGCGGCTGGCAGCACTCAGATGTTTTTCAGTTGCTAATTTTGAAGTTTTGTGTTAGTTTTACTGCAGCCAAGAGGCACTGCGGGCAAACTGTCCCTGACGCAAAGGTCGGCTCCGCTGTGGAAGAGGCTGTGTGCATTGCCCGCGGACAGCTGCAGAGCGCCAGGCATGAAGGCTGTGAGTGCGGCCCTCGGCTGGTCAGCTGCTGCCGGCGGCGGGGAGCCAGGACGCTCGCGCAGCCTTCCCGCAGGTGCCCGTGCAATCCAGCAACACTTGCAGAACGCTGAGAGGCATGGCGTTCCCGGGAGGTTCTCCAAAGAAAGGGACCTCTGGGGCAGCTCCTGGCTCACCGTGCTCACCTCCCATCCTGCGGCTCCTGCACCCACACGGAGCTCCCGCTGGAGCCCCAGACGGTCATTCACGGCCTGAGGAACTGAATTTTGCTTCGTGCTGAGAAAATGACTTCTCAGAGGCAACTTGTCCTGTGACAACGGAGATTTCCTTTGTTTTGCTATATTTTCCCTTCCCCTCCCCAGCCTCCCTTTCTTCACGTAGTCATCCATTGGACAGGCCCTCTTGAGTGACAGTCGTGGCTCGTTTCTGCATATGGAGCCTCTGCCGAGGCTTAATCATGTGATGGCGACTGGTGTGTTTTCACTTGCTCTGGCGGGTGGCCAAACGCTTATAGAACTGGTCACTTGGGCCGGGTGCAGTGGACCACTTGAGGTCAGGAGTTTGAGACCAGCCTAGCCAATGTGGTGAAACCCTGTGTCTACTAAAGATATACAAAAATCAGCCAGGCATTGTGGCAGGTGCCTGTAATCCCAGCTACAGGAGGCTGAGGCATGGAAATTGCTTGAACCTGGGAGGCAGAGGTTGCGGTGAGCTGAGATTGCGCCACTGCACTCCAGCCTGGGCGACACAGCAGGAGTCCGTCTGAAAAAAAAAAAAAACCAACAACAACGGTTGAATTTGTTACTTAGCTAAACTGTAGAGCCTAGTGTCTGCTTTCTGTTAACTGGTTTATTACCCAGTAGGGTGGTACCTATCCTCTACAGTTTGTCTAGGACTCTCAACTCCAAATTGACAACAGTGTAACTGTCTGTTTCCCTAGACTAACACATCAGGCTGCTCTTAGAAGGCTGGTATAAAGCTAAGATAATTGTCCCCATTTTCTTCTCCTTTGGGAGCTGGTGAGCCCCCATCTGCTGCTCTGAACCGGACTCTGTGAATTCTTCCCCAGACAGCTTCACCTGAGTCCCCCTAGGCTGCAGCGCCTGTCTCAGTGGACATATGGCCTTGCTGGGACAGGAAGGTGGTGATGGAGGTGATGATGGCGGTGATGGAGGTGATGATTATGGAGGTGGCAGTGATGCAGCGATGGTGGTGGGGATGGCAGTGGTGGTGGTACGGCTGGAGATGATGGTGGTGATGACGGAGGTGATGGCAATGATGGTAGGGGTGGCAGTGATGGTGATGGTAGTGGTGACGGTGGTGATGGCACTGATGGTGGTAGGGATGGAGATGATGGTGATTGGTAGTGGTGATGGTGGTGGAGGTGATGGTGACGGTGATGGCGGTGGTGATGGAGGTGATGGCGGTAATGGAGGGGACTGTGGGAGAGTCAGTCGGTGGGCTCATGCTGCCATCTGGTGGTAATGACTGAGTATTACATGGACTCTAGCTCTCCCTGCCCCCAGTTAGGTGTAAATTGCATTTTGACATATTTTTGTTATGAATACACATGAAAAATGACAGTTTTCTGTGCTACTTAGCTGCTAATGATCGAACAGGAAAAAAAATAACTGCTTTGGCTCTGCCATTGGGCTGGAAAATATGGTAAGAGTCCAGGGAGAGCCGCCCCGCTCCTGCAGTGCGGTTCCCTAACTGTGCCCTGCTCCCAGCCCAGGATCCGGTCGTGGCCATGGCCGAGGATGGCCGGGAGAAGCCGAAGCTGCCAAAGGAGAGAGAGGAGCTGGAGCAGGCCCAGATCAAGGGGCCCGTGGATGTGCCTGGACGGGAAGATGGCAAGGAGGCACAGGAGGAGGCACAGCTTGATCGCCCTGGGCAAGGTACTGGGCACTGGCTGGGGGTGGAGACGGGGAAGGGGGGCCCCATGTCCTCCTCTGCAGGCCGGATACCCTGCGGCGTGGCTCTCGGGGCTGTGTGTGTGTGTTTCCCTTCAGCCCATCCTAAGTTCTGGTCATTTTTGTTTTCTGTGTCTTTCAATTCAGATGAATGTGCTGCCCCTCCCAGAGCAACTTGTTTGCAGCTGCCCCTGGTGTAACTTTAGTGTCAACTGCGCTTGACCAGGCAGCAGGGAGGCCAGCGGGGAGGTGGTATCTGTTGGCCTGTGTCACACTGTTGGGAGCCAGAACCCAGGGAAGAGCCCAGTTCAGATTCCCTGGGAAGGGAAGGAGGGGCCTCAGCCTGACCCCATCTGTCCCCCGTGCCCTTGCAGGGATTGCCATGCCTGTGGGCGAGGCCCACCGCCACGAGCCTCCTGTTCCTCACGACAAGGTGGTGGTAGATGAAGGCCAAGACCGAGAGGTGCCAGAAGAGAACAAACCTCCATCCAGACACGTGGGCGGAAAGGCTCCAGGGGTCCAAGGCCAGATGGCACCGCCTCTGCCCGACTCAGAAAGAGAGAAACGGGAGCCGGAGCAGGGAGAGGTTGGGAAGAGGCCTGGACAGGCCCAGGCCTTGGAGGAAGCAGGCGATCTTCCTGAAGATCCCCAGAAAGTTCCAGAAGCAGATGGCCAGCCAGCTGTCCAGCCTGCAAAGGAAGACCTGGGGCCAGGAGACAGGGACCTGCATCCTCGGCCCCAGGCAGTGCTGTCTGAGCAGCAGAATGCCCTGGCAGTGGGTGAAGGGGAAAAGGCCGATGGGGTGCCGCCACCAGGCAACGCCGCCGGGGATACAGGGCAGCCCGCAGAGGACAGTGACCATGGTGGGTGTCACCCTGGGCTCGTGTGGGACAACGCTTCCCTCTCGGGCTGGGGAGGCTGGGCAGGGGCAGCAGAATCGATGGCTCCTCCCTCAGGCCCCAGTCTCTCGCCCTGCTCCAGATTAGCATGCAAATGGGGCGGCCCGGCAGCTGGTGGGGACAGGAAGAGGCTGGTGGCTGACAGCTACTGTAATATCTGTCACACAGTTGTTTGCCAGACCACTAAATGTCAGGTGCCGCACTGTGCTCGTGTGTCTGCGCGTACACGGGGGGTGGCGCGGGGGGCGCCTGACAGGTAACACGTTGTTAAGTGCCCGTCTAAGAGCTGCTTAGGACGGTTCTTGCATTTTAATTGCGAAGGCAGTTAACATTGGCTCATTGCCACAAGCCTATGAGGTTGTTAAATATTTTTTTATTGCTTCACTAGTAATCATCAGGTTGAATATAAACTGTGCTGACGGGGGTGTCTCTTTAGAAACATCTGCCACCTCCTTTTGTCCTTCCCTTGCCTTCTGTCCCCCCCCAATCCTCCCTTGACTTTCCTGCAAAACCTCCTGAGTCTTCACCGTGTGTGCAGGTGGGAAGCCTCCCTTCCCAGCAGAGAAGCCGGCTCCGGGGGCTGGGCTGCCGCCTGAGCCTCGCGAGCAGAGGGACGTGGAGCGAGCGGGCGGAGACCAGGCGGCCAGCCAGCTGGAAGGTAAGGCCTCGGCCCCACAGCTGCCCGCCTCAGGCCCAGGGAGCAGCAGCCCCTCCCCTAGCCCTGGGGGGATGCCCAGGTCATCCTAGGGAGCCCTGTCAGGCACCCTTCTCTTTCTTATAAGCAGACCCCTCGGATAGCTTTCTGCTCCCTTCCCATCAGCAGCTTGCTTTCTGGGAACGTTTTATCCCTCCCTGGGAGCGTTTTGTCTCCCTTACTCCCCTTTAAAACACCTGCAGCGTTGTCACCTGGCTTGTGATTACCATTTTGTCTCATTTTAAAGCAGGTTTGTTAGCAGTTCTAACACTCGCAGTATTTAAAGCCAGGCAGGTGTGGGCGTGCCTGCACCCAGATGTGGAGGTTTATTTTAAGGCTGTGCCCCGAGGGGACCCGGCTTGCGGGTGGCTGCACCCACCCTGGTCCTAGCAGAGCCCCAGCCCAGAGCGCTGCTCGCACTCCCTCGGCCCTCGGAGCTCGGCTGTGTTCATCGGCAGGGATCTGTCACCTGTTCCTCCAGGAAGGCTCCTCATGCCTTTGCTCTCCTGAGAATAAAACTTACTGTGACTCCTCCTCCAAACTTCCTGCCCCTTGGGTCCCAGCTGTTGGCTTTTGCGGCCCCTCCTTGTGACCTCACGCAGTTGGGTGGCAGCAGCCCCCCCGTGGGCCTGCTGGGGACAGGCTTCTGTGCCATGTCCTCTCCCAGGCTGGGGGTCCACTCGCCCTCTGAGGGTGTGTGGCTGAGCCCCCGCTTGCCAAAAGTCAGGTACATTTGGTGGCAGCGTCCAAGCCTTCTCTCAGGGTGGTCAGCCGTGCCCCATGCGGCGTCCACGTGTGCCCCGGCATTGAGAGGGTCTGTTCCAGGGATCTGTATGGGGGTCACAGGGCACAGCCGCTCCAGCCTCCTGGGCCAAGCCCCTGGGAGCAGGTGTGGGAGCTCTGGGCCAGCCTTGGCGCGGGCACCTCCCAGGGCGTTCGTAAGACACGCACTTCCTGCCGGCGCCTCTTGCCCTGTGGCCTCAGGACAGCCGGTCCGAGGGAGGGCGGGTGCAGCAGCCGTGTCCCAGTGGCCTCAGGACAGCCATGTCCCAGTGGCTGCAGCCTGGCTTCTCACGGGTACACCTCACCCTCCTTGCATCTGCAGCGCGGAAGACAGAGCCGAAAGGTGCCCCTGGGCTTCCGGAGCTCTGAGCTGCTTCAGAAGTTCACACGTGTGGGATTTTGTCTTAGGTTTTAGTCAGGCCATATTTTTTGGTTCCAATTCCTATGCTCTGTTATCTGAACCTGTTTGATTCTTTTGATTTTCTTCTTTCTGAAAAAGACTTTTCACGGTTTCCTATTCTGCCTTTCTTCCGTATGCCTCTCAACGGGACGAACAGCTGAGATTAAAAAGATAGTAGCAGGTACGAACCCAAAGGAGTGTGCTGAAGTAAAGAGCGCGCCTGGAGGGCCTCAGACCTGAGCGCAGCCCCTCGGCGGCACACCTGCCCCAGGACAGCCCTGCATGGGGACACGTGTCAGGCCCCAGACCCAGGCTCAGCCGCAGCCCTCAGGCGGGGTCCCGATGCCCACTCTGCTCCCTTGTGTTATAAATGCCGTGGTCCTCCTCAGCCCTGCTGTGGCCTTGCCTGTCATCAGGGGGCAGGCTGCTTAGGGCACCAGCCGAGGCGGGGCGCTGCCTGCGCTGCTGCCTCATGGGCCGCCTTGAGAGATCTGTGTGGGTCTCAATAGGTGGGTGGCTCCGTGCCTTCTGCAGTCTGGTCCCTGTGGTGTAGGTGGGCTCTGGCTGTAGGAACAGCCTGTCTCCTCCACAGTGCTTCACATGTGTCCCATGTGGCTTCTGGCTGGACGTGGCAAGGCTCCTTCCTCCCTCCCCCTCCCCCTCTTTTTTCCCCTTCTTCCTCTTCTCCTCCCTCCTCTTCCCTCCCTCCTTCTCCCTCCCTCCTTCTCCCTACTCCCTCCTCTTCCCTCCTTCTCCCTACTCCCTCCTCTTCCCTCCTTCTCCCTTCTCCCTCCTCTTCCCTCCTTCTCCCTTCTCCCTCTTCTCCCTTCTCTTCCCTCCTTCCTTCTCCCTCCTCTTCCCTCCCTCCTTCTCCCTCCTTCCCTCCCTCCTTCTCCCTCCTCTTCCCTCCCTCCTTCTCCCTCCTCTTCCCTCCCTCCTTCTCCCTCCTCTTCCTTCCCTCCTCCTCCCTCCTCTTCCCTCCTTCCCCCTCCTCTTCCCTCTTTCCTCCTCCTCCCTCCTCTTTCCTCCTCTCTTGTCCTCCTCTTCCCTCGCCTTCCTTCTTCTCCCTCCTCCTCTCTTTCTCTCTCCTCCCCCTCCCCCTCCTCCCTTCTGTCTCCTCGTCTTTGCTCCTCTTCCCAGCACCAGGCCCAGGGCTAGTCCTTCGGGGAGCAAGTGAGGCCGTGGTGCCTGCCCTTTCGGAACCCTGTCCTGGAGTACGGGGAGGTGTCACTGGCACGTGGGATCTTGTCCTTGTACTGTTGACGATTCTGTGGTTGAGCCCTGCAGCACCCAGGGCGAGAGTGTGGCCCATGGCCAAGGTGGCTGGTCTGCTGCCTGCACTTCCTCATGTGAAAGGAGGTTTGCAGGAGACCTGCTCTGCCCGTCATGGCCTTTCCCTGCAGGCAGGCGTCTGGCCTGGGGTGCTGGCAGGGAGCAGGGGCTGCCGCTCGAGGGCCAGCCCCATGGCCCTGATCTCCTTGGAGCTGGCCCTGTCCCCCACATGCAGGGGTCTGGGCGAGGCCCAGGGCTGCGTTCCTGGGAGAATGCTGACCCTGCGCTTCTCTGGCTGGTCATGGTGTCACTGGGGAGGCTGGGCCGGCGCATCAGTCTATGTCTGGCATGCAGGGGCCCTCCCTGAGATATCTGCTCTCACTACTCGCAAAACATCCTTCTTGCTCCTGGATTGAACTTTTGTGCCTCACAGCCCTAACCCATCATTTTTCAAAGCTTCCTATAATAATCTGAAAATGTGTTGTAAAAATTACATAATTCACGGCCGCTTGCAACAAATAACTGGCCAGTGCTGAAGCGAGTCGGACCAGGTGCTCCTGCAGCAAGTGTGCGCCAGCTGTAACCCGGGCAGGCCTGGCCCTGCAGCAAGTGTGCACCAGCTGTAACCAGGGCAGGCCTGGCCCTGCAGCAAGTGTGCGCCAGCTGTAACCCGGGCAGGCCTGGCCCTGCAGCAAGTGTGCGCCAGCTGTAACCCGGGCAGGCCTGGCCCTGCAGCAAGTGTGCGCCAGCTGTAACCCGGGCAGGCCTGTCCTTTGGCCCTTGCTGCCGGCACCAGCTCTTAATGCTGGGCGCACCAGGGCTCCCCATCACGCAGGACCTGCCCAGAATTTCCACAGCAGATGGTGTTCAGGAGCAGTGGTCAGGACGGCTGGCCGGGACCTCACTGACGCTCCAGCTCCCATGCTCCCCTTAAAAGAAGACAGCTTTTGTTTGTTTTTAAAATTCTCATCTCGGAGGAAACTTTCTAAAAGTACCAATGTTCTTTTCAAAACATAGCTTACAGTTTTTCTTTTCTTTTTTTCTTTTTTGAGACAGGGTCTCGCTTTGTTGCCCAGGCTGGAGTGCAGTGGTGTGATCACAGCTCACTGCAGCCTCAACCTCCTGGGCTCAAGTGATCCTCGGGCCTCTGCCTCCCGAGTAGCTGGGAGTACAGACGCCTGTCACCACACCCTGATAATTTTTATTTTTATGTTTTGTGTGTGTGTGTGTGGAGGTGGGGATCTTGCTGTTTCCCAGGCTGGTCTCTACCTCCTGGGCTCAGGCGATCTGCCTGCCTCGGCCTCCCAAATTGCTGGGATTACAGGCATGAGCCTCCGTGCCCAGGCTTATTTTCTTACATACTTGTCCTAGAACAACTGAATGTGTAAAGTGGAAAAAAAAAGAAAAACCCACCCAGCCCAGATAACCATCTCTGACATTCTGGCACATTCCTTTTGACTCCGTGTTGCTCTGGACACTCATTTTCATGGACAACAAGCAGGCTTGCTGGGGTCCTGCCGGGTGCAGCTGCGGCACAGCCAGTGGGAGAACGATGCAGCAGAGTGGCTGGCTGGCGGGAGAGGCCGTCCCGGGTGGGCTTCCAGGGGCAGTCAGGGCACAGCCTCTCCCGGGCCCTCGGACCTGCATGTCTCACTGCGCTGTCCGGGCTTCATGGTCACGGTCATGACGAGTGTCACCAGTGGCCAGTGTTCGGGCGCACTCCCTGCAGGTGACCTGTGTGTTGTCTTGCTGTGGGCGCAGTCTTGGCCCAGCAGGATGCATGAGCAGCCCCGGCACCCTCTGACTGTGTTCTTTCCAAACCCAGAGGCTGGCAGGGCAGAGATGCTGGACCACGCCGTCCTGCTTCAGGTGATCAAAGAACAGCAGGTGCAGCAAAAGCGCTTGCTGGACCAGCAGGAGAAGCTGCTGGCGGTGATCGAGGAGCAGCACAAGGAGATCCACCAGCAGAGGCAGGAGGATGAGGAGGACAAGCCCAGGCAGGGTAGGCTGGGCCGGCGGATGCAGTGGGGTGGGGCCAGGCAGGGGGTCTCCTGCCGTCATCATGCGGCTGGGTCTGAGCCTCGGTGGCCTCAAGTCCTGAGGGTGAGTGTGGGTTTGGTTCCCAGTGCCCAGTGTTGCTTGTTCTTTTGGGCCCCACTGGCACCCTGTGTTCAGTGCTGTGGCTCAGTTGATGGCCGACTTCATTTGCAGTGGAGGTGCATCCAGAGCCCGGGGCGGCGGTGCCCAGAGGCCAGGAGGCCCCCGAAGGCAAGGCCAGGGAGACGGTGGAGAATCTGCCTCCCCTGCCTTTGGACCATGTCCTCAAAGCTCCCGGGGGCCGCCCCGCTCCATCCCAGGACCTTAACCAGCGTTCCCTGGAGCACCCTGAGGGGCCTGCAGGCAGAGACCCTGCTGGCCCTCCTGATGGCGGCCCTGACACAGAGCCTCGGGCAGCCCAGGCCAAGCCGAGAGATGGCCAGAAGGATGCCGCCCCTGGGGCAGCTGGCACGGTGAAGGGGCTCCCCAAGGGCCCAGAGCAGGTGCCCATGCCAGACCCCGCCAGGGAAGCCAGGGGTCCAGAGGAGCACCTTGCAGAGGAATTCCCCAGGCAAAGTCAGGACATTACTGGCGGTGGTTCCCAAGACAGGAAAAAACCTGGGAAGGAGGTGGCAGCCACTGGCACCGGCATTCTGAAGGAAGCCAACTGGCTTGTGGCAGAGCCAGGAGCAGAGACGGGAGACGCTCGCATGGAGCCCAAGCAGATGAGCCGAGACTTGGGCCTTGCAGCGGACCTGGACCTGCCCGGCAGGGCGGGAGGAGCGGCTGCACAGCCCCAGGCTGTGGTCCATCAGCCGGAACCGCGGGTCATCTCTGACGGCGAGCAGGACGGACAGCAGGGCCACCGGCGGGACCATGGCGGTCACCTGGAGATGAGAAAGGAGGCCCACGGCGGGGACCATGTGCCTGTGTCTCACGGGCAGCCGAGAGGCAGGGAGGACGCTGCTGTCCAGGAGCCCAGGCAGAGGCCAGAGCCAGAGCTGGGGCCCAAACGAGCTGTCCCGGGGGACCAGAGGCCGCACAATGCCAAGCCTAACCGGGACCTGAAACTGCAGGCTGGCTCTGACCTCCGGAGGCGACGGCGGGACCTTAACCCTCATGCAGAGGGCGAGCTGGCCCCAAGGGACGGGGTCATCATTGGCCTTAACTCCCTGCCAGATGTCCAGGTGAACAACCTCCGTGGCGCCTTGGACGCCCAGCTCCGCCAGGCTGCAGGGGGAGCTCTGCAGGTGGTCCACAGCCGGCAGCTTAGACAGGCGCCCGGGGCTCTGGAGGAGTCCTAGCACCTGCTGGCCATGAGGGCCACGCCAGCCACTGTCTTCCCCGGCCAGCAGCAGGTCTTTCTCAGCCGCATCCCAGCCGAACTCTGGAGGTCACACTCATCTATCTCCAGGGTTTCACGTCTGAGGCCCTCACCAAGTGTGAGAGTATAAAAGATTCACCGTGGCATTGTTTCCAGAATGTTCTTGCTGTCGTTCTGTTGCAGCTCTTAGTCTGAGGTCCTCTAACCTCTAGACTCTGAGCTCACTCCAGTCTGTGAGGAGACGTGGCCTCCGCTGCGAGCCGGCCGGTGCACGCCCAGGCTCAGGCTGGGAGCCGCTGTGTCTGCGGTCAGGCCTCCTGCTTCTGCCAGGCAGCACGCGTGGTCTTCAGGTTGAGCTCGGCCGTGTGTGGAGGTGCACATGGCTGCTGATGGTCCCAGCACAGGCTACCGTGAGAGCCAGCGTCCAACCCCAAACTTGCAGCGACTCGGAGTTATAACTGTTTACTGATGTTTCCCACAGTGTGGCAGGAAGTTTTGAATAAACACTTTTGCCTTCGCCCAGCCTCAGTGGGTGCTGTTTGGTGTCCGGGAAACGCAGGGAGCAGGGGCCGGACTCGCGAGTCGGGCATCCAGGGACACTCCTCTTGGTTGGCCCAGCCCTCCATGGTCTGTGTTTTGCAAAATCCAGTTGTGGCTTTTTTTTTTAAAAGTAAAAAACACCACTGATACCTGATTAGTGAAGTTGGGGGAGTGACTGAAAGTCTGAGGCCAGCTCAGGATTCCACATGTATAAAGTAGAGGCCAGAGGTCACGAGGGAACAGTGCCATGACCTGAACATCGAGCATCGCAGTGACTGGACACGAGACGCAGCACAGCCCCAGAGAGACCCTGTGAGCAGGCAGAGACCCGCCTGGTGCCAGGAGGTTGTCCAGCCCCCAGGGCCAGGCCGACATGCATGCTGCCCCGTGTCCAGGACAAGCTCCACAGCCCTCTTGCCTGGCGGGAGAGAGGAGGTGCTGCTGTGTCCAAGCACCTGTAGATGGGGACTGCTTCCCTGAGTCTGTGTCGGCTCGTCCTCTGGGGAGTTTGTGCCCCGACCCTGCCACGAAGGGGTCTGGGGGGCCCATGTTGGTGAAGGGTCTCTGCACGGAGGGCCCGGCCTCGGCCTCTGGCGGTGTCTTCCACCTGCACCTTTTGATATCCTTTGGCTTTTTATTGTAGTTTCTTACCTTGAAGGATGTCACTGGGCAGCCTGAAGACTGGAATTTTTTTTCTTTTGAGACAGAGTCTCACTCCGTCGCCCAGGCTGGAGTGCAGTGGCACAATCTCAGCTCACTGCAAACTCTGCTTCCTGGGTTCAAGCAATTCTCTTGCCTCAGCCTCCCTAGTATCTGGGACTACAGGCAAGTGCCACCACGTCCAGCTAATTTTTTTTTTTTTTGTATTTTTAGTAGAGACCGGGATTCACCATATAGGCCAGGCTGGTCTCGAACTCCTGACCTTGTGATCCACCCACCTCAGCCTCCCAAAGCGCTAGGATTACAGGCTTAAGCCACAGCGCCCGGCCTGAAGACTGGAAATTAACTAGAGGGAAGCTTCTGGAGGCTGAGTGGTGACGCCTGCGGAGTCCCGTGGGCTGGGAGGAGGCTGCAGGACCAGGGGCACTGCTCAGCAGTTGGGAGGTACCCCGCCAAGGGGGTTCAGTCCTGGCCATTTCTGTCTTTCAGTCTCAATTAAAAACAGTTCCAGATGAACCACTGCTCAGTGGTAAAACGCCTTCTGGACGTTCCCCTCAGATTGGAACTCCATTTGTTAAATTGCTCAAAGTGAGATTTTCATTCTGGCTGGATTTCCCCAAATATCTTGCCGTGACCCAGTTTTCTTTTTCTTTGGAGGTTATTCCACCCTCCCGCTTTCTGCTGAGATGGCTGCTGTTGGAGCGGGCCGCCCTCGGCCGACACACAGGCATCCGTGACCGCCGTGCCTCTGCTGCCGCCCATCCTGCTGCACCCTGGAATCCCTACACCCCCAGCCACAGGCAGGGTCACCCGCCCCCACGCACACTTCCTTATTCCTGCCCACCCCCAGCCCAGGTGGCAGCCCCTCAGGGAAGGAAAGAGAAACTTCCTTCCCCAAAAGCCTGGCAGACCCCGGGGTGGGGCTTCTCAGAACGACACAGAGGGGCCCCGGGGCCAGGCTGCGCTTTCTGATGGACCACAGGCTGCTCCTGTCTGGTCAGTCCTGGTGCAGGTCACTGGGCCGTGGAGCCTGCCTCTGGGGGCTCAGTTCCAGAGCAGGGCCGCAGGGATAGTGCCGTCCCGTTGCCAGTGGTACTTCTGTGCGGGAACAGACTTGCACAGCACACTGGCCGAGGGACAGATTGAGTGGAGCTCAGCCCTCAAAGAACTTCTGGCATCGCCTGAGAGCCAGGGCATTTGCTGTGGCTTGAACGTGTTCCCTCCAAAATCCAGGAGTTGCCTAAGTGATAGTATCAACAGGTGACTAGGCTGAGGGCTCCTTCCTCGCTCCTACGATTAAGAGCCTTATAAAAGGACTGGGCGCGGTGGCTCACGCCTGTAATCCCAGCACTTTGGGAGGCTGAGGCAGGTGGATCACAAGGTCAGGAGATTGAGCCCATCCTGGCTAACACAGTGAAACCCCGTCTCTACTAAAAATACAAAAAATGAGCTGGGCGTGGTGGCAGGCGCCTGTAGTCCCAGCTACTTGGGGTGCTGAGGCAGGAGAAGGGCGTGAACCTGGGAGGCAGAGCTTGCAGTGAGCCAAGATTGTGCCACTGCACTCCAGCCTGGGCAACAGAGTGAGACTCTTGTCTCAAAAAAAAAAAAAAAAAAAAAAAAGCCTCATAAAAGAGGCTGCACGCAGCATGCAGGTCATTTGCTCTCTTGCTCCTCCGCCTTCTCCAGCATGAGGACGCGGCACAAAGGCCCTCCCCAGACACCAGTGCCAGTGGCTGGATCTCGGGCTTTGCAGCCTGCAGAGCTGGGAGAAATCAGGCTGTTCTTTGTAAATCACCCAGTCTCAGAGCTTTGTTAGGGCAGCAGGACGGCCCAAGTGCACCTGAAGTAGTTAAGAGCTCTGCACTGTCCCTGCCGTGCGGAAACAGCAGAACCCCTCCCCCTTCCCTTTGCCTGCTCCCCGCCCCTCCCCCACTCCCCCCCAGCTTCCTGAGCTGTCACTCAGGGAGGAAGGGCAGAGCAAAAGTGCAGGAAGGTTTGGAAGGAAAAAGGAAATTTGGAGTGGCAGAAAAGACGGTGTCCCCAGGAGGTCTGAGAGCTGAGTTTGGAGGTGTGGGCCATGCTGGGCCACAGAAAGTCTGGCAGGTCTGTCACCACCTCACACACGGGGTGAAGGACAGCAAGGGGGAGTGCTGGGAAGACAGGTCTGTGGGCGGGACAGGAGGCTGGATCTGGAGGGAGAAGATGCAGGAAGCTCTGCCAATGAATTGCCAGAGAACGGAGGAGAGGGCGTGACAGGGCTAAGAAAAGGACGTTTGTGCAGTGAGGCTCGCTCATGGATGAGTGCTGGGCACACGTGAGGAGGAAGGCAGGGTGGGGGCAGCTGGCCGTGCACGCTGGGGAGGCGGGTCAGGTGGGTCATGCCAGCACAGGACGTGAGTCTGGCCTGTGCACGGATAGGCTGTGGTGGCTTCACCCTAGCAGTCTGGTCTGGATTTCTGTGGTTCCCAAGATGTGACACTATCCTGGCCCTTGGGACAAAATCCAGCGCTCTGGCCTGGCTCCTGCAGACTCACCACCCAGATCAGACCGCAGGGCATTTGACCCTTAGGGGAAGCCAGGCTAATTCTGGGGTAGCATCTGTAGGAGGAAACATGGAGGAACAGACCTCAGAGGCCCACAGGGTCAGCTGCTAGCACGGGCCTGGGGGCAGGTGCAGGCTGCAGCCCCATGACAGTGCGACCTCCACAGCCCACGCAGTCCCTGCCATGCCCTGCAGGTGGCGCTCAGGCCCCACGGACTCCCAGGTCTCAAGGTCAACAAGTGCCCGGGCAGCATCAGGATGTGACCCTTCTCACCTTAGTTTTAGGTCAAGTGATGTGACAAGGAGGGGGAACGAGAGGGCAGGTGCCATCAGTGAAGCACCTGGGCTGCTGAGGGGGGTGACCAACCCCACACAGGAGGGGCAGTGGCTGCTGGTGCTCTACACAGGCCCCTCTCGGAGACTCAGGCCCTTTTGTGAAGAGCCCCCGCCCTGCCCCATGTCCAGGAAAGCCACCTGCGAGGACCCTGCCCCATGGAATGTCCCCTTGTGGTGCTGACGTCCTTGTCTTTGGTGTGTGCTGTATACCCACAGCGAGATCTGCAGGCTTCACCAGATTCACATTAAATACCTTAGTGAGAATGTTTTTTTTTTTTTTGAGATGGAGTCTCACTCTGTCGCCCAGGCTGGAGTGCAGTGGCGCGATCTCGGCTCACTGCAAGCTCCACCTCCCGGCTTCACGCCATTCTCCTGCCTCAGCCTCCCGAGTAGCTGGGACTACAGGCGCCCACCATCTCGCCCGGCTAATTTTTTGTATTTTTTTAGTAGAGACGGGGTTTCACCATGTTAGCCAGGATGGTCTCGATCTCCTGACCTTGTGATCTGCCCGTCTCGGCCTCCCAAAGTGCTGGGATTACAGGCTTGAGTCACCGCGCCCGGCCGAGAATGTTTTAAAATGGGGACCTTGAGGCAGGGTGTCCCCAAGTCCCAGCCCTTCCAGTTTTGGGGGAAAGGCTTTGGGCCCCATTCCACCTCGGAGAGGCCAAGACCCACATGTCACAGTCTGCACACAGTAAGCCCCAGGCTGCAGGACTTAACGGGGTCTTTACTGTGGCTTCCATTGTATCTTATTCGAACTCAGATTTACAGACACAACACTGGAAAACCAATTCCTCCTCTACCCACGCCTCAACTTGTTAAGAAGAAGAAATACAGGATCTAACACCCAGGAACGTCACATCTTCGCCATTCCCACTTCCTTTCTGCCCTAGGCATTCAATGTGTGCCACCAGGGGCCATGAGGACGAGGGCACCGCACCCACGGCAGCAGTCAGGTGTGAAGCTCAGAGTCCCTCCTAACAGCCTCGCTCCAGCGTCTTCTTGGCCTGCAAGATAAAGTGTTTTGTCTGAATGGCTTGCTTCCAAGTTAGATATGGCTCAAAAGAAAGCTACCACACTAAATGTCGTGTTCTACGCAAATACCTTACAGAGAACGTGGTGCTGGCATGTGGTGGGGGCTCGACTGGTTGGAGCCTGGGCCCCATGGGCCAGTTCTCTGTGTCACTTGTCCATGGGACAAGGGCCTCATGACACTGTCATGGAACTCACTGCTGCACCCTCCTCTGAGCCCCCACCAGATGCCACACTGGGACCCAAGCTCTCATAAAGGGAAAGCAGGAGCCCCCCAAGTTTTTTTTTTTTTTGAGATGCAGTCTCGCTTTGTCGCCCAGGCTGGAGTACGGTGGCGCAATCTCGGCTCACTACAACCTTCACCTCCCAGGTTCAAGTGATCTTCCACCTCAGCCTCCCAAGTAGCTGGGACTACATCACCAGGCCCGGCTAATTTTTTTTTTTTTTTTTTTGGTAGAGACAGGGTCTCCGTATGTTGCCCAGGCTGGTCTCAAACTTCTAGGCTGAAGCAATTCACCCGCCTCAGCCTCCCAAAGTGGTAGGATTACAGGCATGCGCCACCATACCCGGCAAAAAGTGCAACTTCTGATGAGTTACCCACCCCTGGATCCAAGGCTGCTAGGGCCGGGTAGCTATGAAGGCCATGGAGCTCTTGTTCAACTACCCTTTCTCTGGTCCAAATCTGCGGATTAATAGCTCCCAGTAAACAAGAGTCAGCACTGGCATCACGGCCTACCCCAGATACACTGAGGTGGTACCCAGAGAGGCTGACACTTAGGGAACCAGCCTCAGAATGACTTGAAGCCCTATGGTGCCAGTTGTGAGGGTGGCTGGGGGTGCCCGGCAGGACAGGCGCTGAAGGAATCCACTGCAGCTGCACGGGGCGGGCTGCAAGTGAAGGGGGATGAAGACCCGGAAGGCGCTGGGCACTTTCTGGGAGTCCTGTGTTGGGTCGATCCTGGCCTGACACCCCTCGGCGGCAGTGCTAACATGAAAGCTTACGCGTTTTACCAGGCGCTTTAGTGCACACATTTCCCATCCTTTCTGAGGTTGGTGCCAGTCCCGGTTTACAAACACGCAGGGACAAACCCGGGACGGCCGAGGTTTCGCGGGCTCGTCCGTGGCTCGGTGGTTTGGTCAGCCGGCGTCTAAAGCACGCGGCAGGCGCTCAAACCTTGAACCAACGGGAAAGCAAAGGAAAGCTGGGGCCCCCTGGATCTTGGAGGGGAAGGGCTAGGAGGGGCCCGCGCCCACCTACCGCGGCGGCGAAGCAGCTCCGCAGGGCCTCGAACTCCCGCGCGCAGAGGTCCTTGCTTAGGCTGCCGCCTGGGGCCGTGGAGGCCTGCACGCACCTGCCGTACGCCGCGGCCTGCGGAGGGGATGGGCGCGGGTCATGGGGTCCCTTGATCCCGTCACCGCCCTCCCTCCCAGTCACCTCCCCGCGCTGCTCCTCCTGTCCAGCAGCACTGGCCTGCCCGCGGCTCCTCACCTCGGCCCCGCAGGCGGCCAGCCGCTCGGGGAAGGCGCGGAGGCGGCTTCGCACGCGGCCCCACACAGCTCCGTTCACAGACATGAGTGGCTGTTCCCAGAGCCCCTGGGCGCCGTCATCTTAGGTCCATCCTCTTCCGGTGTCAAACAGCTTGATAGGTCGGCGCTTCCGCCCATAACCTTTCCTGCGCTTCTTAATTGGCCAGAGCCCCTGCAATTGGCTCTTGTCCTAGTCTGTCTGTGCCCTGGGACTTCGGATTGGCCTAGGCTCAAATTGTTTACGAAGCCAACCTCAGGGCCCGCCCCGCCGCGAGGGATTGGCCGGCGGAGCCAGACCCGCGCAGTGATTGGAGAGCCCGGGCCTGGCGGAAGCGGGGCAGACCGGGAGGGGACTTGGATCATGGCTGCCGCGCCGCCGCTACGGGACCGCCTGAGCTTTCTACACCGGGTGAGTGAGGGCGGTCCGCCCGGGCCCCGGCCCCACGGCTTCTCTCGAGCGCCGCGTTCCCCGGACTCGCCCCGGGCTTGAGCCGTTGACCTTGCGTCTCCGCGCCGGGTAGCTGCTGCCGGCCCCTTCGCCCGCGCCGACGCCCCTGAGCTGCCCGCCCGCCGCGCCGTCCCGGGGCCTCCCAAGCCGGACCCACCGAGCGCAAGGGCGATGGGTACAGCCAGACCCTGGGGGAACGAACAGGCCTCGGCCAGCATTCAGTGGGCTCCGACAGGAGGGAAGGAGCGGCGGACCCAGTGGACGTGGAGCCGCTGTGTCCGTGCTGCCGGCGCCCAGGTGGGCTGGCCGCCCGCCGTCCTCCCTAACGGTGGCGTTTCAGAGGACTCCGGTCCTGGAGAGGCACCCCTGGGTTGCAGAGAACACAGACATTTCGAAGGGACAGGGAAGGACACACCGTTGTAAGCCCCTCTTAGTAAACGCTCTGAGAAGGAGAGGCCGGGCCAGTTCCCAGGTGTCGTCCTGAGCAAACTGCCCTCTTTTGTCAGCCCTCAGCTTTCCTAGGCTGAACCTCAGAGGGGGCTGAGTGGGCCCAGGGCGCGGCCTTGGGCTGCCAGAAGCCACGCTAGGGTTGGTCAAAGCTCTCAGTGCAAGGTTTGGACAGAGTCGTTGTGTGCTGCGTTCTGCCGTTGTCAGCTGTCACCTGCAAACCTGTCTAGCTCCCCTTAGGGCTTGGTGGGCAAATAGTGTCCGTGATGTGTGTCCACAGCCTCGGGAAACACTTCAGGTCCACGTTTGCGTGTGTTGTCACTAGATCTCCGCGCTGCCAACTGAAAGGCTTCAGCGCCTCACGTGGTCGGTCCCATGCTTGTCCTCTTAAATACTCTTGAACTCTGTTCTGTCCTGAAACTGAATAATGCAAAAATGGGTGGTTCCAGTTTTCATCCCTATAAACTCTACATCTTTGTGCCAGTAAGTCAGCATGAAACCAATAAGTCCATCTGCTGTTAGCGAACATAAAACACACGACATCGGTCGGTTCTTGGGGAGCGATGGAGCCAGTCAGGCTGAGCGGCTGTCACTCTGCCAATCCGGGCTCTTGGGAGGTGGAACTATTCATAGTCCTCTGAGTGGAAAAGCGCTTGCCTGGGCCTTGTTTGGCTTTGCTAGTCAGTAGGTAGGTACAGGAGAGGTACTTTTAAATAGCCTTACGTGCTGGTAAGTGCAGGGAGGCTGGGGGCTGTGTCCCATCGTAACCCAAGTGGCACAGCTCCTCCGTGGAGAACCACCACTGACTTGCCTCTTCTCCAAGGCTGTTCATCCCTGACTGTTGAGAGAGGACCCTGCTGCAGCCTCCCTGTGGCCAGTAGCACGGTTCTCACCCCTTCCCAGGCCTCTCTCCGGCCATGTCAACAGCGATCGGTGGGCCGTTTCCATCCCCTTTGGAGGGGTGTGGATCCACCCCTGTGGGAGATGGCACCTCATCACAGCGGGGCTCTTGTTCCCTTTCAGCTCCCGATTCTTCTGAAGGGGACATCGGATGATGATGTCCCATGTCCGGGCTACCTGTTTGAAGAGATTGCTAGTATCCTTCCTCGACGTACTGTGTGGGGGAAAGAACAGATGGCAGGGTCCCAGAGTGGTGGGAAGGGTTCCCGGGGATTCTGCTGTCCCTAGGGGGATCCGCAGCTCCTTTATCATTGTAAGCAGCCGTGGGTGGGTCTGAAGGCTGCAGTACTGATGGCACAGGAGACCTGAGAAGCCCTGCGCTCCTGACGGCAGAGCCTGCAGGAGGCGCCTCCAGGGAGCGTGGACTGGAGGTCCCAGGGCCCGGTCTCCCTGCGGCCCGGCGCAGCCTTTACCATCTCGCCCTTCCCTAACCCGAGCGTGCCACAGAAATCTCCCACGAGTCTCCGGGCAGCAGCCAGTGCCTGCTGGAGTACCTCCTGAGCCGCCTACACAGCAGCTCCGGCCACGGGAAGCTCAAGGTGAGCCCCTGGGTGGTCAAGGGTCAGGCCCGAGGCCTGGCCGATGGTGGTGAGGCTAGAGGAGGAGATGAGCGGCCCAGGGTGGCAAGCAGCTCTATGCCCTTTGGGTGCCCTGGGCCCTGCCCTGGGCGTCCCGTGTCCGGCCCGCCCAGCGCTGCTGACCGCCCCACTCCCCAGGTGCTGAAGATCCTGCTGTATCTGTGTGGCCACGGCTCCTCCTCCTTCCTGCTCATCCTCAAACGCAACTCTGCCTTCATCCAGGAAGCCGCAGGTACAGGGGCTTTGGACAGTGCGGGAGGGCGGCAAATCCTCCGGGCTTGAGAAGCAAGACTTCAGCCAGAGCCCTCACCTGGGCCTGGTCCCCGTCAAAGCCCCGCGTTGCTGATCCTGGCCCATCCCTGGCCTCTCCACCTGCTGCCCACCCGCACCCCAGCTGGCCGACTCGGCCTCCCCTGACATGCCCTGCCCCTCCCTCCGCTGGGTCCTCCGTGCCTCCCGTGTGTCCCTGGGCCTTCAGCTGCGTCTGTCCCTGTGCTTGCTGCCCCGGTTGCCATTGTTTGTTTCTCTGTGTGCCCCGCGGGTCTTCCCCTCCATCCCAGTGCCCACACGTAGCAGACTCAGTGCCTGTTCACACGTCCTCCTCAGGCTGTGGGTTCTTGTTCTAGGGCTGCTCCTCAGAGCCCAAGACAGAGGGAAGCCATGGGAGGGCGGGACTGGGAGGCAGGAGAGGCGGGGCCCCGGCCAGTCGATCTGTCCAGGCAGCAGGTGGGTCTGGGGGAGCCGTCCCACAGGCTGGGGGGCAGTCCCATGTGCCTCTGCCTAATGAGGACTTGTAGGGGCTTGGCCTGAGATCTTCCATGGGGCTCCAGGTGGTCACTGGGCACACCATGTCTGGACCCCAGCCCAGCCCCTGAGAGGGGAATTCTGGGGAGGGAGACTGTCTGTCGTGCCGCTGCTTGCTTATGGAGACCCTAAGCGTGTCCATCCACTGGGCTCACCCCAAAACCGGCGTCGAAACCAGTATTGCCCCACTTTGTGACAAGTGGGCATGCAGCTCTAGGTGTCCCTCAGGGGCCAGTGCCCTGGGCCACCATCGACAGTTGTGACACATGACTTAGGCGGTAGATGCCCCTGAAGAAACGGCTGTGTGAGGGCGCTCTCGCCATTCTAATAGAGTCCTCACAGCTTTGGGGCCAAGGCAGTACCAGCCATTTATCCTCACCATTCAGCGGGTCAGAGGGCCCCGGGCTCCCAGGCCACTCCCGTGGCTGTGGTTGGTGCATGTACGTTGTGGCTTCAGTGGTCTCGGGGACATGCCCTGGGGTGGGGGCTGCAGCAGGTGTGGGGATGGGGCATGGCAGGCCCCGAGGTTGGGAAAGGCTGTTCTTCAGACCCTGGGTTCTTGTTGGCACTAGAGTCTGTCCTGTGCAGAGGCAGTTGTGGATGATGGCTGTCGCCTGCCGTGCCTGGGCACTGGCCCTGGGCGGGGCACAGGATGTGGGAGGTGTCACGACAGCCCTGTGAGGAAGGCAGGCGCACATGAGAGACGGGGCGGCCCCCGCCAGGCGGCGGGTGTGCAGTGAGGATGGCCCACCCCACGCACGCAGAGCGTCAGAAAGAGGAAAGAAACACAAAACGCAGCTGACAGTTAAAGACAGGTTTTCTGTTTTGTTTTGTTTTTTTTTTTGAGACAGAGTCTTGTTCTGTCGCCCAGGCTGGAGTGCGGTGGCGCGATCTCAGCTCACTGCAAACTCCGTCTCCCGGGTTCACGCCATTCTCCTGCCTCAGCCTCCCGAGTAGCTGCGACTACAGGCGCCCGCCACCGCGCCCGGCTAGTTTTTTGTATTTTTTTTTTTTTTTTTTTGAGACGGAGTCTTGCTCTGTTGCCCAGGCTGGAGTGCAGTGGCCGGATCTCAGCTCACTGCAAGCTCCGCCTCCCGGGTTTACGCCATTCTCCTGCCTCAGCCTCCCGAGCAGCTGGGACTACAGGCGCCCGCCACCTCGCCCGGCTAGATTTTTGTATTTTTTAGTAGAGACGGGGTTTCACCGTGTTAGCCAGGATGGTCTCGATCTCCTGACCTCGTGATCCGCCCGTCTCGGCCTCCCAAAGTGCTGGGATTACAGGTTTGAGCCACCGCGCCCGGCCGTTTTTTGTATTTTTAGTAGAGACGGGGTTTCACCGTGTTAGCCAGGATGGTCTCGATCTCCTGACCTCGTGATCCGCCCGTCTCGGCCTCCCAAAGTGCTGGGATTACAGGTTTGAGCCACCGCGCCCGGCCGTTTTTTGTATTTTTTAGTAGAGACGGGGTTTCACCGTGTTAGCCAGGATGGTCTCGATCTCCTGACCTCGTGATCCGCCCGTCTCGGCCTCCCAAAGTGCTGGGATTACAGGCGTGAGCCACCACGCCCGGCCCAAGACAGGTTTTCTTTAGTTAAAACCTGAGAGGCGCCCCCAGCCGATTGTGGTCAGAAGCCCCTTCTCTTACAGACTAAGCGTGTGTTGGTTTTGGGGTGAGGGCTCGTCAGGAGCTCGGAACGTGTGTGTGGAGAAGTTCGTGGCCGGGCTGGAAGGACGGCAGGTTATCTTGGGACATCTTTCCAGCCCGGAGGTGGGTTTTCTCGAAGCTGGCGTCTTCCCGGCCGGAGGAGGGTTGTCTCGGGCTGGCATGTCTCTGGTCGGGGAGGAGTTTGGAGTGTTTCTGGTTGGAGATGTTATTTGTAGTTTATGGTTGTGCTGACTTTAGCCATTAGGCTGATGCCTTTTGGATTTAGGCGGTTTTTGGTTAAGGTGAACTTTAGAATGAGGGGCTTGTCCAAGACGGTGATGCTCCTGCTCTGTCACAGAGGAGGGCCAGCACGAGGTGGCAGGCGGGTGCCCTGGGCTCCTGCGGGAAGATGGCAGCCGCAGGGGGTCAGTTTATCCAGCCACTGACTCAGCCTGCGGCTGCCACCCTGGGCCCAGGGACAGCCAGGGGCGTCGTCTGTGAATCACAGGGCCAGCCTGCCAGGGTGGCGAGTGGATTCATCTGTGACTGAGGCTCTCCAAGGGTTCTCAGAGGCACGGCTGTCAGCATGAGCCCTGAAAGGATGCCTCGGCTCCAGGTGCAGGCTCAGGAGGCTCTGGGGCCGGAAGATTTAAGGACAGAAGTCCCAGTTCACCGTGAGAGGAACTCTCAGGGCAGGGGAGCCCGCGGCGGCTGAGACTGAGGATGGGTGGGTCCAGGCGGAGCTTTCAGGCTGTGATAAGAAGGCTGGTGTCTCCCTCCAGGCCCCGGCAGCCTCCGAGGGGTCCCTGGTGCACCTGGGGCAGGGAGAGTGGGCTGCAGGGAGGCCGCACCACCTCAGGCACCAGGGGTTGCCAGCCCTGGGGGAGGTGAGGTGGTTGCGTGGAGAGAGACTCGCCTCTGTGGGGCATGGGTGGGGGGAGCTGAGGGTCTGCTCTGGTGTGGCCTCTGTGGGGTCCTGGAGGAAGGCGTGCCAGTGGCCGTGACAGAAGGGCCCGGGTGGCAGGAACTTGCCACCCTGGAGTGGGCCCAGTTCACCATGTTCTGCAGGGAGCAGCGGTGCCAGGCTCAGCCCTGCCCCCCACTTGCCTTTTATGTTCTGCAGCTTTTGCGGGGCCCCCGGATCCTCTGCACGGGAACAGCTTGTACCAGAAGGTTCGGGCAGCCGCGCAGGTGAGCCCAGGAGCAGTGTCGCTCTGCGGGGTGCCCTTCCTCCTGTAGAGGGCAGGACTGGGGCCAGGATGTCAGCTGAGGGGTTTGCAGTTCCTCTGCCCGGGACCCCTGCCTCTGGGGGACAGAACACAGCTGATACGAGTGGCAGGGCGAGTACAGGAGGCCCCGGCATGAGGACGCTGAGGGCCTCCGCCTCCCCATGTAGGACTTGGGGAGCACCCTGTTCTCGGACACCGTGTTGCCACTGGCTCCCTCCCAGCCTCTGGGGAACCCGCCTGCCACAGGTAGGTGACCGAGGGGACTGTGTCCAGTCCCGGCACCGGGTTTCTGCCTCCCTGAGTGTCCTCGGCGTCTGTGCCACCCATGGGCAGGGCCGACGGTGGGGGCCGACTTGCCGCTGACAGAGGACCCTCTGCAGGCATGGGCTCCCAGGCCAGGCCGCACGGCACCCTCCAGGGTTTCGGCTACAGCAAGGAACATGGCGGTACGGGTGAGTGGGAAGGGCCTGCATGGGCCCCGGCATCTCAGGGTACAGGAATGAGGAGGGCAGTGGGGGCCGGACCATGCTGCCCCACCTGGTAGCTGCTGCCCCCCGTCCCCTCCCCTACACGGCCTCAGCCCTTCCTGGGGCTGTCCCCACTGCTGCCGTGGGGGTGGGGCAGGTGTGGCCAGGGCTGCTTTACGGACAGGCGAGAGAAACCAGGCCCAGCAAGAAGTCAGGGCTGGGCCCCATGGCAGGGGGAGTCCCACTCCGAGAGGGGCTGAGGGCTGTCCCCTGGCTGTAGTGTGAGTGACTCGGGCAGTCCTGTGTGGAGCTGTTACAAGCTGGGGCAGTGCCAGTGGACAACTACTCGTTAGCGCTAGAAGAACCACAGGTGGCACCACGGCCTGCAGCTGGGACCCAGCCCCCAGCCCAGCTGTGCCCTGCTGCCAGGCCCCGGGCGGTGTCTCGCCGCTCACCGTTAGGCTGTGTCACACTGTCCTGCACGCAGCCCGGGGCTCCTGCTGACACTTTGGTGTGGGGGCACCTTCTACAGGGAGCTCACACGGGAAAGGCCGGCCCCTCCCCAAGCCCTGGACACACCTCCCTGAGCCAAGGCCGAGCCCAAGCCCCTTAGGACACCCTCACCCCCAGAGGACAGAGCAGAGGGACGGAGGCATAACTGCTGTGAGCTGGGTGTCTAGGCCACTGGGCGTGGGAATGCCAAAGTGGAGTCCACCGGGAGCTTCCAGAGGGCCTGGGGTCTACCCGGAGGCCTCCCTCCCTGCAGCGTGTACCCCGACTTCCCCAAGCCTGAGCAAGGAGCCCATGTGGGCACCCCGCTCCCAGAGAACGTGGGTGGGGGCCGCACTGGGCGGCCGTCCCATCTCCCTCTCCTCAGGTGCAGGCTCGGCAGGCGAAGCCTTCCTCTCCACCATCCAGAAGGCCGCGGAGGTGGTGGCCAGCGCCATGCGCCCCGGGCCCGAGAGTCCCAGTACCCAGAGGCTCCTGCCGCGGGGTGACACCTACCAGCCTGCCACGATGCCTTCAGCCAACCACGGTCCCCCAACCCTGGGGAACCCACTCCCCGGGGCTATTCCAGGTCCCCGAGGTATCGAGGCGAGGGCTCCTCCCCTTGGGGTCTGGGTCACTCCTTCCTGTCACCGCTGGGGCTTTGCAGCCATGGAGGCAAATCCCAGGGCCTCCCACACAGCAGGAGGGGACGGGACCCGAGGTGGAAGCAGATGCCCACTGGGGCTGGTGTTTGCTGAAGCTGGAGCCAAGGTGGCCGGCTACCCATCCTCAGCTCAGGACTCAGTCCCCAAGGCCTTGGTCCAGGGCCCCGGGAGGTGGGCATGGGGCTGGCCTGAAGCCCTGGGGATCTCACCGGCCATCCTGTTTCCTCCAGCCATGAGGCATCAGCCTGGGCAGGCCGGAGGGGGCTGGGACGAGCTGGACAGCAGCCCCAGCTCTCAGAATTCCTCCCAGAACAGTGACTTGAGCAGGGTCTCAGACTCGGGCAGTCATTCTGGCAGCGACAGCCATTCAGGGGCCAGCCGGGAGCCGGGCGACCTGGCAGAAAGGTGAGTGGAAGCTGCTGGGTATGCGGGAGTGGTCTCGGAGCCACCACACCACCCCCCTCCCAGCGCGGCTCCTGCTCTCTAGGTTCTCCCCAGGGTGAGGCAGGGGTGGGGGCACGGCCCCAACTCACCCCTGACCCGGCCATTCCCCCTGGCAGGGTCGAGGTGGTAGCCCTGAGTGACTGTCAGCAGGAGCTGAGCTTGGTGAGGACTGTGACTCGGGGACCATGCGCCTTCCTGAGCCGCGAGGAGGCACAGCACTTCCTCAAAGCGTGAGTGCGCCTGGACCCGCCTGGCTCTGCCCCAGCCCCAACCCTGGGCGAGGGAGGAGGGGACGGGCCGCACTCGCCACCCAGGTGTCCCCTCTGTGCAGGTGTGGACTGCTCAACTGTGAGGCTGTGCTGCAGCTGCTGACCTGCCACCTGCGTGGGACCAGTGAGTGCACGCAGCTGGTGAGCTGCGCATGCGGGCGGGAGGGCGTGCCTGTGTGCACATGCCTGTGTGTGGACGTTCCCGTGTGTGTGTGTGTGTGTGCGTGTGTGAACATTCCTGTGTGTGTGCCTGTGCATGTGTGTGTGCCTGTGTGTGTGTGTGCCTGTGTGTGTGTGCGCCTGTGTGTGTGTGCCTGTGTGTGTGTGTGCCTGTGTGTGTGTGTGCGCCTGTGTGTGTGCCTGTGTGCCTGTGTGTGTGTGTGTGCCTGTGCATGTGTGTGTGCCTGTGCATGTGTGTATGCCTGTGTGTGCCTGTGCATGTGTGTGTGCCTGTGTGTGTGTGCCTGTGTGTGTGCCTGTGTGTGTGCCTGTGTGTATGCCTGTGTGTGTGCCTGTGCATGTGTGTGTGCCTGTGTGTGTGCCTGTGTGTGTGCCTGTGCATGTGTGTGTGCCTGTGTGTGTGCCTGTGCATGTGTGTGTGCCTGTATGTGTGCCTGTGTGTGTGCCTGTGTGTGTGCCTGTGTGTGTGCCTGTGCATGTGTGTATGCCTATGTGTGTGCCTGTGTGTATGCCTGTGTGTGTGCCTGTGTGTATGCCTGTGTGTGTGCCTGTGCATGTGTGTGTGCCTGTGTGTGTGCCTGTGTGTATGCCTGTGTGTGCCTGTGCATGTGTGTGTGCCTGTGTGTGTGTGTGCCTGTGTGTGTGTGTGCGCCTGTGTGTGTGCCTGTGTGCCTGTGTGTGTGTGTGTGCCTGTGTGTGTGTGTGCCTGTGTGTGTGTGCCTGTGTGTATGCCTGTGTGTGTGCCTGTGCATGTGTGTATGCGTGTGTGTATGCCTGTGTGTGCCTGTGCCTGTGTGTGTGCCTGTGTGTGTGTGCCTGTGTGTGTGCCTGTGTGTGTGCCTGTGCATGTGTGTATGCCTGTGTGTGTGCCTGTGTGTGTGCCTGTGCATGTGTGTGTGCCTGTGTGTATGCCTGTGTGTGTGCCTGTGCATGTGTGTGTGCCTGTGCATGTGTGTGTGCCTGTGTGTGTGCCTGTGCATGTGTGTATGCCTGTGCATGTGTGTGTGCCTGTGCATGTGTGTGTGCCTATGCATGTGTGTATGCCTGTGCATGTGTGTGTGCCTGTGTGTATGCCTGTGCATGTGTGTGTGCCTGTGTGTATGCATGTGTGTGTGCCTGTGTGTGTGCCTGTGCATGTGTGTATGACTGTGTGTGTGCCTGTGCATGTGTGTGTGCCTGTGTGTGTGCCTGTGCATGTGTGTATGCCTGTGCATGTGTGTATGCCTGTGTGTGTGCCTGTGTGTATGCCTGTGTGTGTTCCTGTGCATGTGTGTATGCCTGTGTGTGTGCCTGTGCATGTGTGTGTGCCTGTGCATGTGTGTATGCCTGTGCATGTGTGTGTGCCTGTGTGTATGCCTGTGCATGTGTGTGTGCCTGTGTGTATGCATGTGTGTGTGCCTGTGTGTGTGCCTGTGCATGTGTGTATGCCTGTGTGTATGCCTGTGTGTGTGCCTGTGCATGTGTGTGTGCTTGTGCATGTGTGTATGCCTGTGCATGTGTGTATGCCTGTGTGTGTGCCTGTGCATGTGTGTATGCCTGTGTGTATGCCTGTGTGTGTGCCTGTGCATGTGTGTGCGCCTGTGCATGTGTGTATGCCTGTGTGTGTGCCTGTGCGTGTGTGTATGCCTGTATGTGTGCCTGTGCATGTGTGTGTGCCTGTGCATGTGTGTGTGCCTGTGTGTGTGCCTGTGCATGTGTGCGTGTGTACATGACTTCATGTGTGTGGTTGTGTATGTATGTGCCTATGTGTGTGTGCGTGCACATGAAAGTGTGGACACGCGTGGGCATGTTGCGGGGGAATGAAGGTAAGGCGAACGGGGCAGCAGGTCACGTGCTTCTCGCTGGGGTGTGTCCAGGAGCCGGGGAGGACATGGCTCTGGTGTCTGGGAACTGGGGTGTAAGGCGGTAGGGACAGGGCTCTGGCGTCTGGGAGCTGGGGTATAAGGCAGTGAGGACAGGGCTCTGGTGTCTGGGAACTGGGGTGTAAGGCAGTGAGGACAGGGCTCTGGTGTCTGGGAACTGGGGTGTAAGGCAGTGAGGACAGGGCTCTGGTGTCTGGGAACTGGGGTGTAAGGCAGTGAGGACAGGGCTCTGGTGTCTGGGAACTGGGGTGTAAGGCAGTGAGGACAGGGCTCTGGTGTCTGGGAACTGGGGTGTAAGGCAGTGAGGACAGGGCTCTGGTGTCTGGGAACTGGGTTGTAGGGGCTCTGGTGTTCGGGAGCCGGGGTGTAAGGCAGTGAGGACAGGGCTCTGGTGTCCGGGAGCTGGGGTGTAAGGCAGTGAGGACAGGGCTCTGGTGTCCGGGAACTGGGGTGTAAGGCGGTGAGGACAGGGCTCTGGTGGAGCTGTCCCTGGTGCCTCCTGGCACTCCGGTCGTTGAGGAGGAGGGAGAATAGGGAGAGAGAGGGCCAGACAGGCCTCCCTGGCATGGACCTGCTGCCCCATGCGTGCTAATGTCCCCTCCCTTCGTCCGCAGAGGGCCCTGTGTGCCATTGCCTCCCTGGGGAGCGCCGACCTCCTTCCCCAGGAGCACATCCTCCTCCGCACCCGGCCGCGGCTGCAGGAGCTCAGCATGGGCAGCCCGGGACCTGTGACCAACAAGGCCACCAAGGTGGGCAGCTGCAGAGTGCCACACACACACGGGTCCAAGGGTACAGCAGGACATACACTGCAGTCCACGGCCACCCTGTCCCTGCCCGGCGCTTGGTCAGCCCTTCCCGGACCCGCCTCCCGAGTCCCCGTCCCGCTGGCAGAGGGAGCAGCAGTGAGTCAGGGTCCTCACCTCCCCACTCCCTTCCTGCCTTCCACCCCAACTCCGCAGCACTCACGGGACACTGGCCTCTACCTGTTCCTGGAAGCCCCCAAACTCCTCTGCCTTAATGTTCCTGCCCTTGTGTCTCGGCTCACACCCACCTCTTCCAGGAAGCCCTCCCTGACTGCACATGCAGTTTGCCACCCATGGCCCAGCTCATGCTCAGCTCCGGAGGGCAGAAGTGGTTCCATTGATCTCTGTGCACTTGAACACTCCGAACTGCCTGGAGGCTGCTGGAATCACACTGGGAGGCCTCTCTCTGCTACCAGGCCCTGGCACCCTCCCTCTGCCTGTGGACACCCCCAGTTTCTTTCTTCCTGTTTTCTCCCTGGCTGCTGGAAACACAGGACCTCAGTCACCCATCCCCAAGTCGTCCTTATCTAGCTCACCTTTCAGTCAGAGCGACAAGTGAGCCTGGGGTTTGCACCACCGCAGGCGAACCTTGTAGTGGGGTTTCTAAAACGGGCATGCTGGAAGAACCCTGCGTCCAACAGTTGGAAACACCCAGATGTGCCGGGCCACGTGTGTTCACTCCCTCCAGCAGTGCCTGGTGGGTTATGACGGGGAGGGTGTCCGTTGGTATAGTAGTGAGTGAAGGAACAAGATTTGAGGTGTGGGTGTGACACCTGCCCCCTGTCGCCAGCACCAGCCCAGCAGCTGCTCTCAGTGGGATGACAACTGGGTGCACTGCTCCAGCCCCCTCCTGGCAGCCGGCGTCCTGCCCAGAACTGGCCCTGCCCTCTGAGTGGAGGGACTGAGGAGGCCCTAGGGAGAGGCGGGCCCTGGTCCCCACAATTTCCAGGGTTGCATAGGAATCTCCCTGGTTCCTCCTTCCTTCCTCTTTCAGATCCTGAGGCACTTTGAGGCCTCCTGTGGGCAGCTGTCCCCTGCCCGGGGCACCTCAGCCGAGCCTGGCCCCACAGCCGCCCTCCCAGGCCCATCTGACCTGCTGACCGATGCTGTGCCTCTTGCTGGGAGCCAACTCTTCCTCCAGCCTCTGAGTTCAACCGCAGTCTCATGCCGGAGCCCTGCTCCCTCATCTGGGATGCCGCCCAGCCCTGTGCCCACCCCACCCCCGGATGCCTCCCCCATTCCAGCCCGCGGAGACCCCAGCAAGGCCAAGGCCAGACTGGCAGAAAGCAGGGGGTGGGGACCTGAACAGGTCCTAGGGGGCACAGACAGCCCAAAGAGAGGCCCCAGCGACTGTGCGTGGAGCCGCGACTCCTTGTTTGCTGGTATGGAGCTGGTGGCCTGCCCCCGCCTGGTGGGCGCCGGGGCTGCTGCAGGAGAGTCCTGCCTTGATGCTCCCCAAGCCCCCCAAACATCGTCCCAGAGGACAGCAGTCAAAGAGCCTCCTGGCTCAGAGCCGTCAGCTTTCGCGTTCCTGAACGCCTGACCCGACGGCCTGGCCCTGGAGCCTTCAGCTTCAGCTGCTGCCCGGGGGGCTCTGTGCTGCCTGAGCAGCCTCAACCGTAGCTGCTACAGTCTCCAGGCAACTTGACCTGAGAGGAGGACCCTAGGGCTACCTCAGTTTCCCCCATCTCCTCTGCCAGAGGCTCTGGCTATTTGGACTTGAATCCCTACAAGGGATAGGCAGGTGGCAGGGCCTCAGAAATGTTGATCTCAGGAGTCCCAGGGGGCAGCCCCTGCTTGTCTTGCCCTCAGACATGAGGTTTCTTGTGTGAATATGGAAGCGACTACCAGGTTCTTTATTTCATTTTGATCTCAGCTCCCTCCTTCCCCAGGAGGTCATGAGCAGTAAGCCACCGCCTCCCCATCCCTTCGGGGTGGGCTGGGGGCTGAGGCTGGGTTTGGTGCACGTGGGCTGAGGGTGTCTTGTCCGGGCTGCCTTGTGCCGTCTGGTCTTTGACCATTTCAAGTTTCAGATCCCCACGTGACCCTTCCCTGGCTCTCACCTGCTCCTTCATGCTGTAATTGCTTCCCGCACACGAAGCCTCTGATTGGAGCCTCTGGTCCATCTCAGAAGAACCTTCCGAGAGCGCTGGGGTTTATGCTTTCTGAATAAACACTACTGTTTACATGAAGCTGGGCCATTTATTTTTCTTCTTTTGTGTATGTGCATTTTAATAAAAATACCGTCAAGGGGCACACGCAGAGGACTGCTTGCCTCAAAGTAGGGACGGGCGTTATTCCTAAAACGTGTGGTAGAACTCCCCAGTGGCACTATTCTTGCAGTTAACCTTAATGGCAAGGTTTTAAACTATGAAACTCAGTTTCTTAAATAAATAAGAGACTATGTGGGTTCTCTATTTCTAATTTCAGCAGTTTGTGTCTTCAGGGGATTGGTCCATTTTATATCAGTTGCTGAATCTGTGATTCCGTTTTTTGTAGTATTCCTTTATTCTTCATTTCATGCCTGTGGGGCCTGTAGTCACACTATCACGCTCTTCCGTTCATGCCTGTGGGGCTGTAGTCACACTACCACATTCTTCCTGTCATTCCTAATATGGGTCACTTGTTTTCCCTTTTTCTTGGTCGGGCAGTTTATTAATGTTAGTTTCTTCAAAGAACGAACTTTTGGTTTTATTTTTTTCTACTTCACTAATTTGTTTTTCAGTTTCCTAGTTCACTAATTTCTGTTCTTTATTGTTTTCTTTCTTCTGCTTTGGGCTTATTTTTATTTTCTCAGTTTCTTTTTTTTTTTTTTCTTTTTTTGAGACAGAGTCTCGTTCTGTTGCCAGGCTGGAGTGCAGTGGCACAATCTCGGCTCACTGCAACCTCCGCCTCCCGGGTTCAAGTGATTCCCCTGCCTCAGCCTCCTAAGTAGCAGGGATTACAGGCGCCCACCACCATGCCAGGTTAATTTTTTGTATTTTAGTAGAGATGGGGTTTCACCATGTTAGCCAGGATGGTCTCGATCTCCTGACCTCATGACCCACCCACCTTGGCCTCCCAAAGTGCTGGGATTACAGGCGTGAGGCACCGCGCCTGGCCTATTTTTTCAGTTTTGTAAGGTGGAAGCTTAGATTATTTATTCGTCACCTTTATTTTCTAATGTGAGCATTGTAATGCTATAAATAGTTCCTGTGAACACTACTTTGGCTGCATCCTGTGAATTTTGGTACGTTTAAATTTTTATTTAGCTCTAAACATTTTAAAATTTATCTTGAGACTTCCTTTTTGTCCAATGGTTTATTTTAAAGCATATTATGTTATGATTTAATTCTGATATAGTCAGAGAGCATATTTTGTATGATTTCTGTTATATTGTTTAAAGATTTCAAGCCTAGGCAACATAGCAAGACCCCATTTCTACAAAAAAAAAAAAAAGCCAGGCATGGTCCCGCTACCCAGGTGGCTGAGGCAGGAGGATTCCTTGAACTCCACAGGTCAAGGCTGCAGTGAGCCATGATTGTGCCATTGCACTCTAGCTCTATCACCTAGTGCAGTGGTGCAATCACGGCTCACTGCAGTCTCAACCTCCTGAGTTCAAGCAATCCTAAGCAATCCTCATGCCTCAGTCACCACACATGGTTTTTTGTTTTTGTTTTTTGTGTTTTTTTGGTAGAGACAGGGCTCTCGTTGTGTTGCCCACACTGGTCTCCAACTCCTGGCCTCCTGCAATTCTCCCACCTCAGCCTCCCAAAGTATCAGGATGACAGGCATGAGCTGCTGTGCCTGGCCTCACACTTTTGTTAAGGATTTCAAACTTTTGTTAAAGTTTGTTTTGTGGCCAAGAATATAGTTTATCTTGGTGGATGTTCCGTGTACACTTGGTCTAGAAAACTAGAGATCAATATCCTTTGGGAATACAGATGCAAAATTCCTCAAGAAAACAACAAAATGAATCCAATAATATATGAAAAGTGTAATACATCGCTCTTAAGTGGAACATATCCCAGGAATGCAAGGCTGTTTCAACCTATGAAAATAAGTGTAATTCAATCCATCGTATTAACTAATAGTAAAGAAAAACCTCATGTTCATTTTATGCAGAAAAAGCAAGAAACAAAATAAATTCAGCATTCACTCATGACCCCAAAACGCTCCCAAATTTGACAAGCTAGAAATGTAAGAGATCTTTTGCATGGCAAGGGGCTTTTGCAAAACCCCTCAGCTGACATCATGCTCAATGCTGAAGGACTAATGTTTTTCCCCTGCGATTGGAAAGAAGGCCATGGTGTGCACACTAACCATTTCTGTTCAGCACTACACTGAAGCCCTGGTCGGTTCGATAAAGCAAAAAACAAGAAAGACAGGCACATTAGAAAGGAAGAAATAAAACATACTGTTCACAGAAAACAGGACTGTAGAAAATCCCATGAAATCTACCAAAAACTTCCTAAGAAGTGAGTTTAGCAAAGACGCAGGCTCCAGGGTAAATACAGTAAGATCAATTACACTTTTGTAATAGCAATAAACAATGGGACATTAAAGCATAAAAAACTACCATTTGTAATGGCACTCCAAAAATGAAATAATTAGGTGTAAATTAGAAAGATATATGTAGGATGTGTATGCTGAAAACTACAAAATACCGATGAAAGAAATCAATGAAGATCCAAATCAGTGGAGAGATATACCATGTTAATCAATTATGGTGTCAATTATTCCCAAATTACAGGTCTACAGATTTAGATAGTGACAAGCTGAAACTAAAATTTATAAGAAGACTCAAAAGAATTGGAATAGCCAAGGTAATTTGGAAAAAGAACAAAGGACTGAAAACCTGATTTCAAGATTTACTATAGGCCAGGTGCAGTGGCTTACATCTGTAATCCCAGCACTTTGGGAGGCGAAGGTGGGAGAAATGCTTGAGCCTAGGAATTTGAGACTAGCCTGGGCAATAGGTGAGACCCCCATCTCTGCAAAAAAGAAAAAAGGCGCACTAATCAAGTGGTATTGGTGAAAAGGTAGAAACACAGATCAATGGACTAGTACATTGTTCAGAATAGACCATATGGTCAATTGCCCTGCTACAAACATGTAAAGGTTCTTTTTGAAAATTTTTTGCATATGGAGACTTAATGAAGAAAGAGCAGCCTTTCAACAGATGGTACTGGAACAACTGGGCCTCCATATGCAAAATAGAAAAAAAAAAGAACCTTGGCTCATACCTCACACCTTACATAAAATTTAAACTGAATCATAGACCTAAATATGAAAGCTAAAACCATAAACCTTCTAGAGGAAAACAGAGGAGAAAATGTTGTCTCTGGATTAGGCAATGTCATCATATATAAGATATAAAAAGCACAAATAATAAAAAGTTGGACTTTATTAAATTTAAAAACATCTCTTTGGGCCAGGTGTGGTGGCTCACGCCTGTAAGCCCAGCACTTTGGGAGGCTGAGGTCGGAGGATCACTTGAGGTCAAGAGTTCAAAACTAGCCTGGCCAACATGGCAAAACCCTGTCTCTACTAAAAATACAAAAGTTAGCATGGTGGTGAAAGCCTGTAGTCCCCGCTACTTGGGAGGCTGAGGCAGGAGAGTAGATTGAACCCAGGAGGCAGAGGTTGCAGTGAGCCAAGATCATGCCACTGTACTCCAGCCTGGGCGACAGAGGAAGACTCCATCTCAAAAACAAAACAAAATAAAACAAACTTCTCTTTGAATGACGCAGTTAAGAAAATGGAAAGAAGCCACAGACTGGGGGAATTTATTTGCAAATCACACATCTCATGAAAGACATATAAAGACCGTTTGAAGAACACTGAGAAGTAAAAAATAAACCACCCCAAATTTCAAAGATGGCAAATGATTTGAACAGATACTTCACTAAAGAAGATACATGAATACCTGACACAGAAGCACATGAGTAGATAGATTCTCAACATCGTTAGTCTTCAGGCAAATGCGATTTATAAAATATTGGATCCCATGACATACCTATTAATATGACTTAAACACATAAAACCAGGCTGGGCGCTGTGGCTCACGCCTGTAATCCCAGCAATTTGGGACACTGAGGCAGGCAGATCACAAGGTCAGGAGATTGAGACCATCCTGGCTAACACAGCGAAACCCCTTCTCTACTAAAAAAAAAAAAAAATTAGCTGGGGTGGTGGCAGGTGCCTGTGGTCCCAGCTACTCGGGAGGCTGAGGCAGGAGAATGGTGTGAACCCTGGAGGCAGAGCTTTCAGTGAGCCAAGATCACATCACTGCACTCCAGCCTGGGCAACAAGCAAGACTCTGTCTCAAAAATAAATAAATAAATAAAATAAAAACAAATAAATAAGTAAACGAATAAAACCAAACCCTGACAATACCAAGAGCCAAGGAGCAACCGCAGCGCCTGTGGCTCTGGTGGGAGTGTAGAGCTGTATAACTTCTTTGGAAAACAGCTTAGTAGGTCGGTGCGGTGGCTCATGCCTGTAATCCCAGCACTTTGGGAGGCCAAGGCGGGTGGATCACCTGAGGTCAGCAGTTCAGAAGACCAGCCTGGCCAATATGATGAAACCCTGTCTCTACTAAAAATTCAAAAATTAGCCCGGCATGGTGGTGTGTGCCTGTAATCCCAGCTACTCAGGAGGCTGAGGCAGGAGAATCGCTTGAGCCCAGGAAGCGGAGGTTGGAGTGAGCCAAGATCATGCCATTGCACTCCAGCCTGGGCAACAGAGTGATTCCATCTCGAAAAAGAAAAGAAGTAAAAATAGCTTGGCAGTTTCCTTTTTTTTTTCTTTCCTTTTTTCCTTTTTTTTTGAGACAGAGTCTTGCTCTGTCGCTCAGGCTGGAGTGCAGTGGTGATCTCCGCTCACTGCAATCTCCACCTCCCAGGTTCAAGCGATTCTCCTGCCTCATCCTCCCGAGTAGCTGGGACTCCAGGTGGACGCCACCAGGCACGGGCAATTTTTTTTGGATTTTTACTAGAGATGAGTTTTTGCCATGTTGGCTAGGCTGGTCTCGAATTCCTGACCTCAGGTGATCCGCCCACCTCAGCGTCGCAAGGTTCTAGAATTACAGGCGTGACCCACCGCGCCCGGCCGGCAGTTTCTTATAAACTATCATATGATCCAGCAACCCCACTGCTGGGTATTTACACAAGAGAAATGAAAAGTCGTGTCCACACAGAAGCCGATGAGT